GGGTACCTGATATTACATTTTAAACAGTGAAGCATACAAAATAGCGTGTGTAAATTTTGCTTTAAATCTATTTACAAACTTTAGAATAGGTTGCAGAATGCCATATATTGGGATTGATGTCCATAATTAAGTTCTTTCAATTTCATGTAAATGTTCCTTCGAATACCCAAAAAGGTGAAGGGTATCATATAGTCGGCCCAGTCCGACTTTACTACTTTCTTTACTGGTTTTCAACTCAAAGAAGTGTGTAATATTTGGAATTTTCGGTTCTCAAAGCACAAACAATTTTGAGAACCGCAATCTTGGCCAAAAATTATCTATATGGTTCCGATTTTCAAGTTGTTTTAAAGGCACCCTCCTCATTTTAAAGCACCAATTATCCATAACATGGCATTTAGGGTTTCAAAGCGAAGTGGATGTACTTGGATATTCCGGGTTTGTGGGTTTTAAAAAAGATATTTGCACAATTTTTTTATCTCGGATTCTTTGATGGGAGAAATATTTTTGAGAAGGATTACTTACGTACTTACTTACTTTGCTGGCTTGTTACAGAACGGTTGTTCCATAAGCCGAGCTTAAAAAAGATTTCTAAGCGCGTCGGTCAATTTGAAAGACACGTTCCAAGATGTTGTTTTCTACTTGGTCTTTCCATCTGATTCGTGGCCTTCCCCTTCTACGGGAACCATCAATAGGCTCGCTTTTATATGCCTTTTGAGCTGGGGCATTCTCATTCATTCGCTCCACATGGCCATGGCCTTGCCATCGTAGTCGCTGCAGCTCAATACGACTGACTATGTCGATGTCCACGAATGAATTGTAAATATCGTGGTTCATTTGCCGCCGATATTCACCGTCGACTCAGATCGGCCCGTATATCTTTCGGAGTATTTTTCTTTCAAACACCCCAAGAGCTGCCTCATCTGCTTGCACAAGTACCCATGCTTCAGATCCATATAACAGCACGGGTAGTATCAGCGTCTTGTAAAGTGTGAGTTTGGTCTGATGGGAGGTGGCCTTGTTTCTAAACTGCTTACTTAGACCATTTGATGTCATTCGTTTTATTTATGGCGGTACCAAGGTATATAAAATCATTAACTACCTCGAAGCTGTAGTTCTCACAGTTGTCATTATCTCTTTCATCTCAATTGTGGACACAAACCTTCCTGCGGTGTCACCTGGGGTAGCTATTCTCATCACCCGTTGAAATAGTGAGCTAATATGTGCCGCGAGTTCACACATAAGATCTATAAAAAATGGAGAAACCCTCCTACTATAAAAAAGCAAAAAAGGATTGGTGACATAAAATTTAATATGTTGGTCGGATTCATATAGACGGATTAATTTATAGTCAAGGGTATATACATTTTCTTGTTCCGTTTGTAACTCATGGAAATAATCATTTCCGACCCTATAAAGTATATATATTCTTGATCAGCGTAAAATTCTATGACGATATAGCCATGTCCGTCTATCCGTCTGTCTGTCTGTCCGTCTGTTGTAATCACTCTAGCGTCTGAACGAATTGAGATAGATCGCCAAAATTTTGCATAGAGTCGTCTTTTGTCTGCAGGCAGGTCAAGTTCGAAGATGACCTTTATCGGTCCACGGTTAGGCAGAGTTCCCATATAAGGGTACCCCCCTAATTTTCGGTATTTTGAGGTTCTTGAGCGTGTTTTTCGAATGAATTCGCTGAAATTCGGTACATTGAGATTTTATTGGGTAGCAAATCTCTCCAGAGAAAGTTATAAATATGGGTCCATATTTTTGGATAGCCCCCATTTTGGGGGGTTTGATCGCATTTTTCGAACGAATTCGCTGAAATTCGGTACTTTGAGTTCTTATTGGGTAGCAAATATCTACACTAAAAATTATAAATATAGATCAATCTTTTCGGGTAGCCCCCATAAAAGGGTACTCCCCAATTTTCGGTATTTTAGGGTTCTTGAGCGCGATTTTCAACCGATTTCGCTGAAATTTGGTACAGAGGGTTTTAATTGGGTACCAAATTTTCCCACTAAAAATTATAAATATAGGTCCACTTTTTCTGGTAGTTCCCATATAAGCGTACTTCCCAATTTCCAGTTTTTGGGGGGTTTTTACTGGATTTTTTCACCGAATTGGCTGTAATTTAGTAATTTGAGTTATTATTGGATAGCAAATCTCTCCACAAAAAAATTATAAATAAAGGTCAATTTTTTCGGGTAGTCCCCATATAGGGGTACCCGCAATTTTCGATATTTTGAGGTTCTTGATCGCATTTTTCAAACGAATTCGCTGATATTTTGTATTTTGTAGTCTTATATGGCAACAAATCTCCTCAACAAAAATTATTAATATTCACCCCTTGTTATAACCCCCTTTTTTATATTAAATTAGTTATCTGATTTGTTCCGTGTGTTGCGGTTGGGTAGTCGTTACGGGGAATAGTCAATTTGTACACTACAAAGACTATTTAGCCATATGTTGTAAGCATTCCGCCTTCTAAAGATATTGTGATAAAAAAACTCAAACATTATGATAATGAAATATATCGGCAGACATTTAGGCATCTCCTCAATATAGTGATACCTCCTGAAGGAAAGAATTCACATAAACAATTAAAATATTGGGTTCAAAATTGGCATATACCGGTCATTAATTAGGCATAGCCCTCATATAATGATATTCCCAAATATTCACTATGTAATCAATATTGTTCCCCCTTTAGACATACCCTCATATAACTTTGTAATCTAAATTACAGTAGTTTGAGGATATTATACTCTACCATGCGTTATCAGTATCAGTCCACTTTTTGGATCTTACAGAATTTAGGAAAAATCCCCATTACAAATTGCTGAAGTTTGTATTTGGTGTACATAATGGTTTACATAAATCGGTTTGTAGAATTATCAGTTTATGCCCACTTGTTGGTATGTTCCCTCTATTTTCATTGCATGTGTCTGTCAGTATAACTATGGTGGAGGGTATCCAAAGTTCGGCCCAGCCGATCTTAACGCTTTTCACTTGTTTAGGCCTGGATTCGTTGTTCGATGACAAAGCCTTAAAATACTTTGTAGGGGACTACTATAATATGTGTATGGAAGAAGATAGGCGTGAAAATTCGCCGAAGTGACTGTTATTTTTTTATTCCAGAGTTTTTGAAGACTGATAAAAAACCGTTTATATAGAGCCATGTTTGACATAGCTTCCATATTCAATTTCCGTCCCATTCTCAGTATTTTGAAAGGGGGGTGTGAAAAACTTATTTACAGAAATGTACAGCTCCCTGTTATGACATAGCTTCCATTCGGAAGGGGACAAACATTTATGTAGAAAATTATCAGTAAGAGTCGATGTTTGATGTATTTATATTTCAGTTTAAAGGGTAATTTTTAGAATATTTAAGTTCATGACCGCATTTTCCCACCAAACTGGATGTAATTTGGTATTCTGGGTTTCTTGAATGTGAAAAATATATTTGCAAAACAATTTAATATGGGTGCAAACTTCCTGGGCTCTTAGTGGGGCAAAACATCTTCATAGAATGTTATATGTAGGGCCATTTTTTCACATATCTCTCATATAAAGAACAGGCCCTATTTTCGTTATTTTAAAGGCCTAGCTAAATTTCCTTAACGAAGTGATTATAATTTGCCATCCGGATTCTTGAATTTCCTGTCCGATATTCTCAACCTTTTAATTTTTTTGCATTCCAGATTCCTGGTGAATAAGAAAATTTTTAATATATCCTGGTTTTTTACATGGCTTTCATGAATAGGTCAGGCTTTAACTTCGTTACGTTAAAGTTCCTAGTCCGATTTTCCAAACTGAGTGTATGTAACTTGGTAATTAATTTCCTAAATTTGGTAATTAATTTCCTAATTTCCTAGATAAACATTTTTATATACTGTTTTAACGGCTCATTTTTTGGTGTTTTTTTCAAATGATTACTTTTCGGGTATTTTAATTTTTTGTCGGTTTTATATTCTCCAGTTTTTATAAATTTTATGTTCTGGCCAATTTTAGTTTGGGTCGTTTATATCTATATATGAATTTATATATCGACGCCTCCGGAGAGTAGTATGCTAAGTCTGAAAAGTGACTTTTTCAGCAGAAGCTCTCAAAGTATGGACGCTTCTTTAATCTTACGTGCCATGCTAAGTACATTTTTGCTTATAACTTTGGTTTGGATTGACCGATGATTACCAAAATTTCAGAGAATTTAAATTGAGGACCGTAGTATCTAAAAACGTAAAGAACTTTAAAATATGCTAAGTCGACTTAGCATACTATGGTTCGGAGGTGTCGATATAATAATTGTTAGATCACATCTCGAATATCCCCACACACACATCTACATCACAAGTATAATGGGGACATTGCACACGTGAGCTCCCATATATTATTATTATTTAAATACGTTTTTGTTGATATAATTTTGTTTATATATACAGACATTCCTTTTGGTTTCTTCATCACATTGCTAATAACTACGCTAATTAATTTTCTATAGCAATATCTACCTATATTTCCTAAACTAAGTATTGAAATGATCTTCTTTTTTCTTGCAAAAATAAAATTATCTAATCTCTGTGTAACTACAATTGTTTTCTTTTTCCATATCTTTACTCTTTTTTCCCCTTTGTATCTTACTCTTACAAAATTGTTCTCTTCCCCTCTTTCTATTTCTATCGAAATGCCAACATCACAGGAACAAATAGATTCTAAACAATTTAGTGGAGAAATTAAGTTAAAACCAAGCAATCGTAGATCGTAATACCTTTTTCTGTATTCAATCGACGATGTAAATTGAAAATATTCCAGAAAAAAATATAATATGACGATAAATTGCATTTGTAAATAAAGATATTTTTTGCATATCATTTAAATAAATATTTTACAAAAACGTCAATATATAGCTATATAAAACATATTTTTTAAGGCTGTACAATAGGTGTGAATTTTTTAAAAATACCTTTTTAACTAATTAATTTTTTTTCCTCCATCCCTCCCCACAGAGCGTTCTTCAACAGACCACAAATCCCCTACCATTGGCCCATGACGAATTACTGCAGCCACCCTCACCAACAGTGCATCGTGTCTTTGTACCCCCAGCTCTGCCCATACAATGTAGCGATATCAGCAGCACCCATGAACGCCTCTGTGAAAAATGTAAAAAACTTCTGGATCCACGCATCTCTCCCATACCGGAATTTGTACCACAAATACCGACAAGTGATACCAAAGCCTCTTCCGATAGTAATGGCAGCTCTGTTGATTCCTCCATTTCCGAACAATATCAATCATGTCAATCACGTTCCGCTTCAACGGGTACAACTTCTGAAACCTGGACACCGGCTGAACGTAATACTGCTGCCTCCAGCGTCGCCCCAGCCGAGGAGGCCACAAAAATGGAAAATTCCGAAACAGCAAATGGTGGCCATGGCCAGGTGAAAAATAAAATCTTAGCTTTAGCTTCTAGCCAGCCGGTGCTCAAGAAACAGGGTGTATCCGGTGAAAGTTGTGAGACGTCAATGCAGCAATCGATCAATGTGCCCATACCGAAATATGACAAAGACTTTGCCAGTAAACAGTTGATTAAGGATGCCATTATGGATAATGATTTCCTCAAGAATATCGATGCTTCACAGGTTAGGGAATTGGTGGACTCAATGTATTCGGTAAGCATTCCAAAGGGGAAATTTGTAATACGCGAGGGGGAGGTGGGAGCCCATCTCTATGTTTCGGCGGAAGGGGAATTTGAGGTGGAAAAGAATGGCAAGGTGTTGGGTGTTATGGGTCCCGGTAAGGCCTTCGGAGAGTTGGCAATTCTTTATAATTGTACCCGCACCGCATCGGTGAGGGTGCTGTCCGATGCCAGAGTTTGGGTATTGGATCGTCGGATTTTCCAACAGATTATGATGCGTACTGGTATGCAGCGCATAGAGAATAGTGTAAATTTCTTGAAGTCGGTACCGCTCCTCAAGAATCTCAGTGAGGAGATTTTGGCCAAAATTGCAGATGTTTTGGAAGTGGTAAGTCAGACCCATCTACAAACCCCTCTGAAAATATTTCAAAGTTTTATTATTTCCTTCTCAGGAATTCTATCCAGCCGGTACATATATCATACGCCAAGGGGCCAGCGGAGATACCTTCTTCCTCATATCCCAGGGCTCGGTGAAGGTTACCCAAAAAATAGCACCCTCAGCAGAGGAGAAAGAGATACGCACCCTGGAGCGCGGTGATTATTTTGGTGAGCAAGCTTTGATCAATGAAGATAAGCGTACGGCCAATATTATTGCTATGGCTCCGGGTGTTGAGTGCCTGACATTGGATCGGGATTCATTTACCCATTTGATTGGTGATCTCTGTGAGCTGAAGGAGAAAAATTATGGTGATGAAAATCGCGTGCTGGCCATGAAACATGCTGAGAAGACCAAGGAGATATTTGGTGCTAATGTTAAACAGGGTAAGTAAGGGGCCAATATTCCATTAAAAATTATTTTCGAGGGTCCTGAAAAGGCGTAGATTTTTTAAATAATTTTTTTCTCAACTCTATACAAGGCGTAGATTCTTTAAATAATTTTTTCTCAACTCTATACAAGGCGTAGATTTTTTAAATATTTTTTTCTCAACTCTATATATAATTGTTTCTCAACTCTATACAAGGCGTAGATTTTTTAAATAATTTTTTCTCAACTCTATACAAGGCGTAGATTTTTTAAATAATTTTTTCTCAACTCTATACAAGGCGTAGATTTTTTAAATAATTTTTTCTCAACTCTATACAAGGCGTAGATTTTTTAAATAATTTTTTCTCAACTCTATACAAGGCGTGGATTTTTTAAATAATTTTTTCTCAACTCTATACAAGGCGTGGATCTTTTAAATAATTTTTTCTCAACTCTATACAAGGCGTGGATTTTTTAAATAATTTTTTCTCAACTCTATACAAGGCGTGGATTTTTTAAATAATTTTTTCTCAACTCTATACAAGGCGTGGATTTTTTAAATAATTTTTTCTCATCTCTATACAAGGCGTGGATTTTTAAAATAATCTTTTCAAGGCGCTATACAAGGCGTGGATTTTTAAAATAATTTTTTCAAGGCTCTATACAAGGCGTGGATTTTTAAAATAATTTTTTCAAGGCTCTATAAAATGCGTGGATTTTTAAAATAATTTTTTCAAGGCTCTATACAAGGCGTGGATTTTTAAAATAATTTTTTCAAGGCTCTATACAAGGCGTGGATTTTTAAAATAATTTTTTCAAGGGTCTATTTAAGGCGTGGATTTTTTAAATAATTTTTTCAAGGCTCTATACAAGGCGTGGATTTTTAAAATAATTTTTTCAAGGGTCTATTTAAGGCGTGGATTTTTTAAATAATTTTTTCAAGGGTCTATACAAGGCGTGGATTTTTAAAATAATTTTTTCAAGGATCTATACAAGGCGTGGATTTTTAAAATAATTTTTCAAGGCGCTATACAAGGCGTGGATTTTTAAAATAATTTTTTCAAGGATCTATACAAGGCGTGGATTTTTAAAATAATTTTTTCAAGGCGCTATACAAGGCGTGGATTTTTAAAATAATTTTTTCAAGGATCTATACAAGGCGTGGATTTTTAAAATAATTTTTTCAAGGCGCTATACAAGGCGTGGATTTTTAAAATAATTTTTTCAAGGATCTATACAAGGCGTGGATTTTTAAAATAATTTTTTCGAGGCGCTATACAAGGCGTGGATTTTTTAAATAATTTTTTCGAGGCGCTATACAAGGCGTGGATTTTTTAAATAATTTTTTTAAGGCTCTATACAAGGCGTGGATTTTTTAAATAATTTTTTCAAGGCTCTATACAAGGCGTGGATTTTTTAAATAATTTTTTCAAGTCTCTATACAAGGCGTGGATTTTTTAAATAATTTTTTCAAGGCTCTATACAAGGCGTGGATTTTTTAAATAATTTTTTCAAGGCTCTATACAAGGCGTGGATTTTTTAAATAATTTTTTAAGGCTCTATACAAGGCGTGGATTTTTTAAATAATTTTTTAAGGCGCTATACAAGGCGTGGATTTTTTAAATAATAATTTTTTCAAGGCTCTATACAAGGCGTGGATTTTTTAAATAATTTTTTCAAGGCTCTATACAAGGCGTGGATTTTTCAAATAATTTTTTCAAGGCTCTATACAAGGCGTGGATTTTTTAAATAATTTTTTAAGGCGCTATACAAGGCGTGGATTTTTAAAAAAAATTTTTTCAAGGCTCTATACAAGGCGTGGATTTTTAAAATAATTTTTTCAAGGCTCTATACAAGGCGTGGATTTTTAAAATAATTTTTTCAAGGCTCTATACAAGGCGTGGATTTTTAAAAAAAATTTTTTCAAGGCTCTATACAAGGCGTGGATTTTTAAAATAATTTTTTCAAGGCTCTATACAAGGCGTGGATTTTTAAAATAATTTTTTCAAGGCTCTATACAAGGCGTGGATTTTTAAAATAATTTTTTCAAGGATCTATACAAGGCGTGGATTTTTAAAATAATTTTTTCAAGGCTCTATACAAGGCGTGGATTTTTTAAATAATTTTGGTCGTTTTCTCTTTCTTCCAGAATTCCCCGATTTACAGTTAACGGATCTGGAGGTAATTGCCACCCTGGGCATTGGTGGTTTTGGTCGCGTGGAACTGGTCAAGGCCTATCATCAAAATCGTGTTGATACCTTTGCCCTGAAATGCTTGAAAAAGCGCCACATAGTCGATACCAAACAAGAGGAACATGTCTTCTCCGAACGTACCATTATGTTGACCTGTAATTCACCATTTATATGTCGCCTTTATCGGACATTCCGTGATGAGAAATATGTTTATATGCTGTTGGAGGCCTGCATGGGTGGTGAAATATGGACAATGTTACGGGATCGTGGTAGTTTCGATGAAAATGCTGCCCAATTTATTATCGGTTGTGTTCTGCAGGCCTTTGAATATTTACACTCGAAGGGTATCATCTATCGGGATTTGAAACCGGAAAATTTGATGTTGGACGAGAGGGGTTATGTTAAGTTGGTGAGTAGGGGGAGGGGTAAGGAGACTTCGAGAATTTTTTATTATTATTTTTTTTTGTTCCTGCAGGTCGATTTTGGTTTTGCCAAATACATTGGCAACAGCTGCAAAACTTGGACCTTTTGTGGCACCCCAGAATATGTGGCCCCCGAAATCATTCTAAATAAGGGTCATGATCGTGCTGTGGACTATTGGGCCTTGGGTATTTTGATACATGAATTGCTGAATGGAACGTAAGTTAGAGCTTTCCGAATTTTGGAAAATATTTTTTTGTAATTTTAAAATTTTTTTCTAGACCTCCCTTTGCCGCCAATGACCCCATGAAGACCTATAACATCATCCTGAAGGGCATTGACATGATTGACTTCCCCAAACGCATGTCCCGCTCTGCCGTGCAGCTGATAAAGAAATTATGCCGTGATGTACCTGCCGAACGTTTGGGCTATCAAAAGGGTGGCATACAAGATATCAAGAAGCACAAGTAAGAGAGGAAGAACTTTCTCTTAGTTTTTGTTTTCCCTTTAATTCTGATTTTCTTTTTTTTTTTCTTCCTCTTAGGTGGTTCCTTGGTTTTGACTGGGATGGCCTGCAGAGTCAGCTGTTAATACCACCATTTGTGCGACCCATTGCCCATCCAACAGATACCTGTTACTTTGACAAATTCCCATGTGATCCCAATGAGCCACCAGATGAGCTATCCGGATGGGATGCAGATTTTTGAAAACTATAAATTGACCAGTTTCTTTGCAATTATAACCCCCAGCAGGGGGTGGTCTTAAGTGCCTTTATTGCCTTTTCTTGAGAATGGGAATCAAATGTTAAACAATTTTTTTTTAAATAAATAAATTTAAGTCATAGGGCGGGGCCATGAGGGGAAGAAAGGGGAGTCTAGATAATAAGTCTCCAAACCCATAGACATTTTGTAGTGTGGTCCTTTTCGCCCCTTATTGGCCCCCTAGAACATTTTTTGCTTGCTTTAGGTGTTAGTCTCTTAAGAACAACGTAAAAATTAGCTTAGCTCTAAAAATAGTTACAATTTTTTTAAATAAAAAAATATTTGCTCTTTTACATTCTATGAAAGTGCCTTTGATCCAAAAACTAATAATTATTGCTCAATTTTATTTTTTTGTTAATTTTTTTATATAAAAACTAATTTTTTGTAGTACCTTGTTTAATGTATACGCACACAAAGGATTAAGAAAATATGTAGATTTTTTTTAAACAAAATATTTATAGGGTAGTCTAAGTCTACAGCTATGTTTATATTTCTTCTAAAGAAAATATTAAAAAATATTTATCAACTAGAGCTTATTTTTTAATTTTTAAGAGAAATAAACATTTATTTTCTTTGTTAAATTGTTGTTATAATTAAATCTAATGCAAAATAAAAAAAATAAATAAAATTTTCTTGTCAACGATAAATAAATATAAGGCGTGAATTAAAAAAAGCTAGTAAGGAAAGTTGTAAAGTCGGACTGGGCCGACTATATGATACCCTTCACCACTTTGGGTATATTCTACATATGTATCCTAACAAACGACGCGTTTTCATTATATATATGTATATCTGAACCAATTTCTGGGAAACTTGCCAGAGATTAATTTATATTACATCAGTACGTTGTGTCAATCGGCCTATCTATGGATCTTTTCACGAAGCTTAGCAACATAATTCTAGACTTAATTCAGTACCCTATACCAAAATTCGATCAAATAGAAAGATATATAGGGACTTTGGTGCACCAATTACATAAAATCGGACGAAAATATATATGGGAGCTATATCTAAATCTGAACCGATTTTCACGAAACTAGGCAGACATCATTCTAGACCTTGTTCATTACGCTGTGCCAAATTTCGTGCAAATCAAAAGATTTCCAGGGACTTTAGTGGACTATTTACCTAAAATAGGGTGAAACTATATATGGGAGCTATATCAAAATCTGAACCGATTTTCTAAAAACTTTTCACACATCATTGTAGACTCAATTCAGTATGCTATGCCAAAATTCGTGCAAATCAAAATATTTCCAGGGTATTTAGTGGACTATTTACCTAAAATCGGGCGAAGCTATATATGGGAGCTATATCTAAATCTTAACCGATTTTCACGAAACTCAGCACACGTCATTCTGGACCTAATTCAATACTCTATGCCAACTTTCGTGTAAATCGAAAGATATATAGGGCCTTTGGTGCACCATTTACCTTAAATCGGACGAAACTATATATGGGAGCTATATCTGAATTTGAACCGATTTTTATACCCTACACAACTATTTTGTCAGGGTATTATAGCTTTGTGCAGCCCCAGAAGTTTGTAACGCCACGAAATATTAGTCCTAGACCTACCTTTAAGTATACCGATCGCCATATCTCGACTAGCTGAGTCGATCTAGACATGTGTGTCCGTCCGTCCGTCTGTCCATTATAATTTGTAAACACGATACAGGCCACAGTTATGGACCAATCTTCACGAATGGATGGGTTCTGGCCAATGAAGATCCCTAGTGAATTGGAAAAGATCGGTTAATATTTAGGGGATTAAATGGACCAAAAACTTTATTTTCGTTGGTTTTTCTGGTCGTTCCAGAATTTTTGCATGGAGAAGGGGATCGGGCCAAAGAATAAGTATGCCTGTTTTGATAAAGATCGGTCAATATTAAGCGGTTCAAATTGACCCTGACTTTTGTGTGAAAAATTACAAAATTTGTATTCTATGGGGTATATATTTGCACCTAAATGTCCCAGACCCGTGAAGTTGATAGTATGTTCAAGAGGAGTGGTTGACCTTTAAATTGATACCAATTATATTGTCGTATGTACTCGGATGTGGAACTTACACATAAATATTTACAGGTGCTTACGTATTCATTCATTATTTAGTAACCCATTACCACACCAGAGGGCGGAAATATAGCGTTGATCGCTTAGACATTTTTCATGAGGTTCAAGATGTGGTCACTGACGATAGCCTTTAATTTTCGGTGATGATCAGATAATAATTTTGGGATGAAGTGGACCGAAAACTAATTTTTTGGTGTTTTTTTTCGAGCCAAAATTGAAAGCCGGACATCACAACACAACACACCGTGAAGGGAATCTGGACAAGTGATTAGAAGGGCTGTACTGAATACAAGAGGGTGCAAATATCGCGAAATATTGCCCAAGCTAGGAATAAAGAACCACAGAAAGTTATAGTTTCGTGGAAGTTGTGTAGGGTATCATATGGTCGGCTACGTCCGACTATACTGCTCCGCTCACTGATCTTGAATTTCTATAGGGTTCGTCCTTGGGCCAAATAAATTGCAAAGAATTTGGTTGAAAAACGCGTTCAAGAACCCCAAAATTTCGAAAATTGGGAGGTACCGTTATATGGGGCCTACCCGAAAAAATTGACCTATATTTATCATTTTTAGTGGAGTAATTTGGTACCCAATTAGAACCCTATATGCAAAATTTGAGCGAATTCAGTTGTAATACGCGACCAAGAACCCCAAAATACCGAAAATTGGGGTACCCTTATATGGGGGCTATCAGAAAAAATTGACCCATATTTATAATTATTTGTGAAGACATTTGCTACCCAATAAGAACTCAAAGTACCAAATTTCAGCGAATTCGGTCGAAAAATGCGATCAAAACCCCCAAAATACCGCAAAATTTGGGGTACCCTTGTATGAGGGCTATCCGAAAAAAATGACGCTGATACTTTATAGGGTCGGAAATTATTTCGAAGCGTTACAAACGGAAAAACAACGAATGGTGGAGGGTGTAAAAAAATATCAAGGTCTACCCAAGGCGTGGATTTTTTAAATAATTTTTTTCAAGGCCTATATAAGGCGTGGATTTTTTAAATAATTTTTTTCAAGGCCTATATAAGGCGTGGATTTTTTAAATAATTTTTTTCAAGGCCTATATAAGGCGTGGATTTTTTAAATAATTTTTTTCAAGGCCTATATAAGGCGTGGATTTTTTAAATAATTTTTTTCAAGGCCTATATAAGGCGTGGATTTTTTAAATAATTTTTTTCAAGGCCTATATAAGGCGTGGATTTTTTAAATAATTTTTTTCAAGGCCTATATAAGGCGTGGATTTTCTAAATAATTTTTTTCAAGGCCTATATAAGGCGTGGATTTTTTAAATAATTTTTTTCTAGACGTATATAAAGCGTGGATTTTTTTTTAAATTATTTTTTTCAAGACGTATATAAAGCGTGAATTTTTTTTTAATTATTTTTTTGAAGGCGTGGATTTTTTCAAAATTATTTTTCAAGGCCTATATAAGGCGTGGATTTTTTCAAAATTATTTTTCAAGGCCTATATAAGGCGTGGATTTTTTCAAAATTATTTTTCAAGGCCTATATAAGGCGTGGATTTTTTCAAAATTATTTTTCAAGGCCTATATAAGGCGTGGATTTTTTTAAATATAAGGCGTATATTTTTTTGAAATTATTTTTTATTCAAGGCCTATATAAGGTGTGGATCTTTTTTTAATTATATAAGGCGTGGACATAAAAAAACATGGTCTAAAATGGATTTTTTATTAAAAAAGAATTTATTTATTTATTTTTTTCAAGGCGTGGATTTTTTAAATATTTTTTTTCAAGGCGTGGATTTTTTTTAATTATATAAGGCGTGGACATAAAAAAACATGGTCTAAAATGGATTTTTTATTAAAAAAGAATTTATTTATTTATTTTTTTCAAGGCGTTGATTTTTTAAATATTTTTTTTAAAGGACTATTTTTTAAAGGCGTGGATTTTTTAAATTATTTTTTCCAAGGCCCAAGGCGTGGATTTTTTTAAATTATTTCTTTTCAAGGCGTGGAATTTTTTAAATTATTTTTTTTTAAGGCGTGGATTTTTTAAAATATTTTTTTTTAAATGCGTGGATTTTTTTAAAATATTATTTTAAATGCGTGGATTTTTTTAAATTATTTTTTTAAATGCGTGGATTTTTTTTAATTATTTTTTTAAATGCGTGGATTTTTTTAAATTATTTTTTTAAATGCGTGGATTTTTTAAAATAGTTTTTTATAGGCGTGGATTTTTTTTAATTATTTTTTTCCAAAGCCTACCTATAGGCGTGGAATTTTTCCAAAGCCTACCTATAGGCGTGGATTTTTTTAAATTATTTTTTTCCAAAGCCTACCTATAGGCGTGGATTTTTTTAAATTATTTTTTTAAATTATTTTTTTTAAGGCGTGGATTTTTTTTAAATTATTTTTTAGGCGTGGATTTTTTTAAATTATTTTTTTTAAGGCGTGGATTTTTTTAAATTATTTTTTTAATGCGTTGATTTTTTTAAATTATTTTTTTTAAGGCGTGGATTTTTTTAAATTATTTTTTTAAGGCGTGGATTTTTTTAAATTATTTTTTTAAGGCGTGGATTTTTTTAAATTATTTTTTTTTAAGGCGTGGATTTTTTTAAATTATTTTTTTCAAGAGGTATATAAAGCGTGGATTTTTTTAAATTATTTTTCAAGGGACAAGGCGTGGATTTTTTTAAATTATTTTTTTCGAGGCGTGGATTTTTTAAATTATTTTTTTTTCAAGGCCTATATAAGGCGTGGATTTTTTTAAATTATTTTTTTCAAGACGTATATAAAGCGTGGATTTTTTTTTAATATTTGGATTTTTTAAAATATTTTTTTAAATGCGTGGATTTTTTTAAATTATTTTTTTCGTGGCGTGGATTTTTTAAATTATTTTTTTTCAAGGCCTATATAAGGCGTGGATTTTTTTAAATTATTTTTTTCAAGACGTATATAAAGCGTGGATTTTTTTTTAATATTTGGATTTTTTTAAAATATTTTTTTAAATGCGTGGATTTTTTAAATTATTTTTTTCGTGGCGTGGATTTTTTAAATTATTTTTTCAGAGACCAGCCAAGGCGTGGATTTTTTTAAATTATTTTTTTCAAGACGTATATAAAGCGTGGATTTTTTTTAAATTATTTTTTTCAAGACGTATATAAAGCGTGAATTTTTTTTTTAATTATTTTTTTGAAGGCGTGGATTTTTTTAAAATTATTTTTCAAGGTCTATATAAGGCGTGGATTTTTTTAAATATAAGGCGTATATTTTTTTGAAATTATTTTTTATTCAAGGCATATATAAGGTGTGGATTTTTTTTTAAATTATATAAGGCGTGGACATAAAAAACATGGTCTAAAATGGATTTTTTATTAAAAAAGAATTTATTTATTTATTTATTGAAAAAACAAATAACCGATTTACTTCCACTTCACAATGAAGGTGCGGATCTGCATTGGATCCATGGTAATTTGGAACTTCGAAGCCGCATCCTTTTGTACAGCTGCCAAGGGAGTGTGTTTCGACTTGTAGTATTCCACTTTCTTTGGAACGGTACCATCCGGTTGGAATTTGAAACGATTCATGTTGCTCAAGGCCATAGTACCATCCAGGGTGGTTTCACGAATCTCCGTACCACCCAAGCTATCAAAAACTTGACGAATATTAAATGTGATGCTGGTACTTTCATTTTTATTAAGGAAATATTCCAAACGCAAGAGGCGTTCATTGGCCGAATATGGTTCCAAGGTGAGGACATCAACACCAATCGGCAATGAGGTAAAGGTGGGTAGGCGTGGTAAAACTTTGTTGGTGGCCTTTGTGGAATTGCTGAAGAACTTCCAGAAGGGCAAATGTAATTCACGTTCAGCCAAACGTTCATTGACGGTACTTGTTTTCGACACAGGGCTCAAGATGAGGTAAACTTTACCGCGGGCAACCAAACCCTGACCGTTGACAGTTTCATTGAGAGCCTCACCCACACCAAAGGCATCATCACGCAACAGGCGACGATGTAACATTAATTCCAAGCTACCATCCTTCAAACTTGAACCACCTTGGGCACGATCATTCAGCAGGGTCATACGTCTGGTCGTGGATTCCAAAGCTATGCGCGATGTAATGGGGTAGTAGTTTCCGGAAACACTTTCGGTCAAATTTGGTTTGAAATATTCACGTTCATTGCGGACACGACGTAACATTTCACGACCATTGGAATCGGTGTAGAATACGCCGGAATTTTTCAAATTCGATGTGAAACGGGTAATCACCTCCTTGCCGATATTATCGTTAATTGGAATTGGACCCACCAACCATTCAAATTCAACACGATTTACACCCTCATAGATGCGGATCACTTGCGAGACCCATTCGTTGAAACGTTGATGGACTTCTTTGACCAGGGTACCATTGTAAAACGATAAGGTGGCCTTAGGGCCAATTAGAATCTCTGTACCATTGGGACGGAAAATATAGGCACCCGAAGAGCGGTTCTTAAATTCAGCATTATTACCATAGGCACCCTTATAATAGTAGAATTGTTGGGTGATATCCTCGGAGACGCCATTCATTTGGACATTGTAGAGGAAGCCGTTGGCGTTGAAGGTCAACTTGATTTGCTGGAAAGAGAGATAGAAGGGGAGAAAAGTGGGATTAGAAGAGAGGTAAAACAATTTAAAAATATATTTTAAAGGGCTTGGATTTTTAAATACTTTTTTCAAAGGTCCTGAAGAGGTGTGGATTTTCTAATTAATTTTTTCAAGGCCCTGAAGAGGCGTGAATTTTTAAAATATTTTTTAAGGGTCCGACACAGGGGTGGATTTTTTTAAATTAATTTTTCAAGGGCCGGACATAGGCGTGGATTTTTTAAAATTAATTTTTCAAGGGTCGGACATAGGCGTGGATTTTTTAAAATTAATTTTTCAAGGGTCGGACATAGGCGTGGATTTTTTAAAATTAATTTTTCAAGGGTCGGACATAGGCGTGGATTTTTTAAAATTAATTTTTCAAGGACCACAGGGCCTATCAGGCGTGGATTTTTTAAATTAATTTTCAAAGGCCGAATCATAGGCGTGGATTTTTTTAAATTAATTTTTTAAAGACCGGACATAGGCGTGGATTTTTTTAAATTAATTTTTCAAAGACCGGACATAGGCGTGGATTTTTTAAAATTAATTTTTCAAGGGTCGGACATAGGCGTGGATTTTTTAAAATTAATTTTCAAGGGTCGGACATAGGCGTGGATTTTTTAAAATTAATTTTTCAAGGGTCGGACATAGGCGTGGATTTTTTTAAATTAATTTTTCAAAGACCGGACATAGGCGTGGATTTTTTAAAATTAATTTTTCAAAGACCGGACATAGGCGTGGATTTTTTTAAATTAATTTTTCAAAGACCGGACATAGGCGTGGATTTTTTTAAATTAATTTTTCAAAGACCGGACATAGGCGTGGATTTTTTTAAATTAATTTTTCAAAGACCGGACATAGGCGTGGATTTTTTTAAATTAATTTTTCAAAGACCGGACATAGGCGTGGATTTTTTTAAATTAATTTTTCAAAGACCGGACATAGGCGTGGATTTTTTTAAATTAATTTTTCAAAGACCGGACATGGGTGTCTTTCAAGGGTCCATTAAGGGTGGTGATTATTTATTTTTTTTTACTTACCGAATTTTGTACGATTACATCTCCGGCAGCTCTGGGTTCAATCTCCTCTTCCTCCTTCTTTGATTCCACGTATTTATTATACCGTTGCCTAAAGAAGCCTTTAGGCAATTTGATCTCATTTGTGGCAATTTTCTCCTCTTCTGATCGTGGTGTTGGTGCAACCTTAATATAATAATTTGCAATCTTTTCAGCATAGGCTGAGAAGACCAATTCATGTTGCGATACATTGGGTCTCAAATGGGTTAAGCCAATAACCTCCTTGGGCACTGGTACCACCTCCGACCTAACTTGACGCCCAGTGGAATCGGTGACAATGTATGTACCATTTTTAACAGGAATTCGTACATATTGTGTAGAAGGATGTGCCAAAGGATTGACAATGGTCACAACCAAATTGTTGGGGCTCCATTGGCTGTATTCACACATGCTCAAATTCAATTGAAGACAACTGTCAAATTCACCATTTGTCAAATTGGTCAGTTTGCGTAGAGCATCACGGGTATTGGTCTCAGCAACGCTAATGGCCTTGGTCAGCATGCGATCATAATCATAGGCAACATGTTGTTTCTCAGTGCCGGTAATGGCATCATGATGTTGCATGATACCCATAGCGTGACGTAAATTATCCAAATTGGCGAAGGCTGTCGTGGTGGTCAGATTAGCCATTGTGGTCAATTGTTTGGCGACCTGCAGGAAATGATTACCATCACGTTCGAATCGCTTTTGGGTGGGACGTGAACTATAGTAGCCGGTCCAATAGGTATGCCAATCTGTCGAGTAGGGGAAGAAGTCCTGTGTTTTCACCGGCCAGGTCATGTTGGTGTTGTGAAGAGCCTGGAGGTAACAGGCTGGGGTGGAATAGAAGACGTTCACCTTGCCACCTTGCAATTGGCGTTCATTGACATATCTGAAAAAAAATGGCGATGTTTTTAATAATTTTTTCCGAACTCTAAACAAGGTGAGGGTATTTTTAATATTTTTTTTTATTCAAACTCTATACAAGGTGGAGATTTTTTTAATAATTTTTTGCAAACTTTTTTTCCGATCTCTATACAAGATGGGTATTTTTTTAATATTTTGTTCCGAACTCTATACAAGGTGGGGATTTGTTAAATATTTTTTTTTCAAGGGTCCATACTCACTTGATCAATTTATCCATGTTCTTATAATTCACATAGGCATTTTCATAATTGAAATCATCGCCCATTGGTACCAGCAAATCGGTGGCCCGATAATATGTTCCCATTTTATTTACGTAAGTAAGGAAATCATCAACCTGAAAACAACAACAACAAAATTTCGGAACATTGTTTTCGAAAATTCCCCTTCCGACCCTCCACCTACCTTCTTCTTAACATTATTCTCATAACTGTCACCATCAATGATGGGATCATCGGAACACAAATTATCGAAGCAGAAGCCGGGAGGTGCTGAATAATGATTATACAAAACCCCTGTGAAGAGTTCCGATCTCTCATCTAAATTATCCGAGGCCTTCCATATCATTTCACCGGTCATATTATTGAGACGAGTATTTTTCTCCACATAATCCATGCGGGCGAAAAATTCACCATCAAAACCCATTTGCGCAAACAAAGAGGCCATTTCACGGGAGTGGCCAAAGGGATCGATTTGCCAGCCGACACGAGGACGGGCACAGGTACCAAAGGTGTCGGCAAGGGATCTGAGATGAAAAATTACAAAAATTGGAAATTAAAATTTAATCAAACTTCGATCTCTAAAGAAAACTTCCGGAGAACATTTATCCCCTCTCAACTTACTTGAGACCCACTGTAAAATGATCAATAACACTTTGATAGTGCACCGCCGCCTCATCGTTCATACTCCAGGCACCACCGGTAAATTCTAAACGTCCCTCTTCCACCAAGGTCTTGACATTCTTTTGGACAGCAGCCGTTTGTTCCTTGTACCATTTGAAGAAGAAGGCCGATTCAACTTGAATGAATCTGAAGACAAAGACAAATCGCATTTAAATAAAAATTCTCCTCCTCACCCTCTTCCTCCACTCCACTTACCTTCTCGTCTTATCTTTCAACAGTTCTGTAATGACACTATCCAAAATATACTGGACACCAGCATGTTGAATACCATTACGACTGCCATAGTAATATTGATCGACAGTTTTCAACCAACCAGTATCATCGTGAGAATGTGGCACCAGGTGAATATTTATCATGTTCGCTTTGGAGGTGGGGCATGCCTGCAAAAGGTGAAACATAAATGGTAATGATAAACATCTAATGTTTTTTATTGATAAGTATTATCGGAATCGTTGAAGTGGCAATACATAGAAGTAACAACAACCGATGACGAGTCTGAAGGGCAGAGGAATTTTTTTCGGCATGAAAAAAAAAATACACAGGCCCTCACTTGGAAATCATGAAGATTCTTTAATAGAAAAATCGAGGGTTGATGATATTTTCTCTAGGTGAAACAATCCTCAGAGAGGCCTCAACATTTTTTCTATAAAAATCCCTCTATTTAAAAAAATCCTCTGTCAGAACTGTGCTCATTGACTAAAAAATGTGTATTTAAGAACAAATTTGAATCTATCCTGCATCATTGCTTGTATTTTTTAACTTCGATGCATTCATCGACAAGCTATTTTCCTTGAAGTACAAGGCAATTCTCATTCACTTCGTAGTGCGATGTAGATATATCTTTATATTTTCTTTGTAAAGTAGTCGACTTTTAGCCAACTCCCTAATTAAAGCTCTCATTGCGGTAAGTTATTTACTAAGGAGCCGACAGCATCTAACATCTTCGAGCCGGTCGTCACCTTCCGATTACTAAAGAGCGGACAGTAGCTTGTCGATTACATTTAAATAAACCGATAAATCGGAAACCGATCTTTATTAACCTATGCCGTGATAAAGGAGGTGCAGGCATCATCAATCTACTTCATATGCCACCTAGGAAACCGATCTTCAGCAACCTATAATTTTCAGCTCGTAATTCACGACCATTTATTTACTAACGAACCGACTGAAGCTAACCAGCCATCCATAACCATCAGATTACTAGAGTTCAGATAGAAGCTAACCGATTACATTTAAAATAATCGATCTTCAGCAATCTATTCCGCAATCAAGAAAGTCCAATCCCTATAAATTAGAAATTCGAACCTACTTTATTATTATTCAAATATCGTAAACATTGAAGTATTATAACAACGATTGGCTTCCGATGTCTTGGCTACTGGTAGCAAATTTTGCCCTGAGCATAATCCACTTTTTGCCAGGTTATCAAAAAGTGGATAATCAGTTATTTATAAGGAAACAATAGCAGCTGATCGGACCATTCATGAGTATCCGATGACTAAAAATCCGATATTAACTAGTCAATTACTCTTAAAAGAACCCATAACTTCGAAATCGATCCTCAGCAACCTATTCGCGATCAAGGAGATCCAACCACCAACAATCACCTATAAAACCTACTTCGTATACCACCTATTAAACATTTGCCATAACGAATGCTCGCAGCAGATGGGTTAAGTGTTTCCGCTTTTTATATCTTCTCTGGGTCCCTGCGCGGGCGCCGTTAATAACAAATTGCCCACAAACCATTTGTAATTGGATCCTCAACATGACACTGATAGCGGCTGAACTTAACTCGTCGTTAGAAAAAAATCACCCTTTTAAAATTGAACCATCGCTAGTAAGGATTCGTTGTGATCAATGCATAATCGTGGGAAGCATTCGGAAATAACCGACTTTTTAAATTCAGAATCTATTATCTGAGAATATTTACTGAAATGCGAACAGTTATTTGTATCTACATGTCTAGTTCCGGCACCGAATTAATAAATAAAGTTCATTATTGACGCGAACTTCTTTAAGAGCTAACCGAGTTTCTCAATCTTAATCGCCTACTCCTGGCAGAACTCACCACATTTGAGAAAAATATATTAAAATTAACCAAATGAAACGATACGACATCCTACAAGGACCGACTTCAATACAGAGCCGAAAAATTATTTCTATCCACGTACCGTATAGAGTCAAATAGAGCATACCTTCTACAATCGCCAACAACAGATCGAAGAAGAAGCTAAAGATTATGTGTTAAACAAGCTCACGACTTCAATGCTTCATTCTCCGTTAAAATCCATAAACAATCTGGATCTTATTTTCAAGGGCCTTCGACTGGAATACACCCATTATGGCCGCCGACATGACTTCCACACTTCAGATGAACTGATAAAACAAACGGACAACTACGAGCTTTTCAAAAGAGACGGTGCCCACATGCTCCATGCAGTAGACTTCACTACTTCCGGGACACGAGCCTACTATTTACCATTGTTGTCAAATACCGACCCGACTTTGTTCACTTTGTGGAAAAGGTGAGTCTGCGATTGTTTAGTCAACTAACTACCTCAAAAAAACTGTTACGCAAAACGAACGATCGGAACTAGGTTCGGCTATTTCCTCCATCTAGTCCCTTTTGTTCCAAACGTTCACTTTTGTTCCCGTTTGCTAATTCCTTTTACCCAATCGTTCATCTAGATATTTCCGTTCATTGACCGAAGTAAATGACGTGACGATTGTACTCAAATGAACCATGAAAATAAATATCCTGGTTTATTTTGTAGGCGAACCGAAAATGATCGAAAAGTGTCGGGAACGAATCACCGATTATAGGAATTCGATATATACAGACAAAATAGTCTGTATTTTATTTCCGTTTTTTTCAGTTGCAGTCGACATAGAGAAGAGAATAATGCGAGTGACCGACTAGAGGGTAATCCAGATCGTGGGATGATTTAACGCTTAGGCGCTTTCGGGAATGAACTATCAAATTTCAGGCTGAGTTTTGTCGGAGAAATCCTACTCCGAATTATGAATGAACTGTTTAACGAGTATGCCCTTAGCTAAAATGATGAGTCTATGCGAAGGATATTGCAGTCGCAAAGAGTACCTCCGGCACAATTAAACGAATAATGCAAATGACCGACCACAGTGTGACAAGATGTGAATCAGATCTTCGACACTATAAAACTTTTTCGTACCTCATACAGGAGGTTTGGCCAATGTGTACAGGTTATACCAATGAACAAAGCTCGTGAGCTTTATGTTCACCATTTACCCCAAATGAATGCTATATTGGATCAATTTAGAGAAGCAAAGTTCACTTCAACATCGTGAAAAGCTTTCCTAAGCTCCTTAATGTATTAGAAATTGTATTAAAAGCGATTGCAGAACGCTGGAATACAAACAAACGTTCAAAAGGTTGAGTTCATGTGAATGTCCAACTGAGACACATAGTGACACCCTAAAAACATGGACCTCGAAACACTTAAGACATGCAAATCCTCGAAATATTCGTCGGCGATCAGAATATAATTCAATGTCATTTAAATCACGGTAGAGCTTTTAAAATTTGCACAGACATTGCAATTTCGGTATATCGGGCATCGTTTTGGTAAAGCCAAATAACGGCACCGCCCCATTTTCGAAATTTTGAAGGGTTTATCCGCTTTTTACAACCGCTGACAGTGCAATTTTATATTTATGGTTCTTGGAAAATTCCATACATGAATGCAGAAAATTATTCCTGTAGGTTAAATATTTCACTGACGGCTCCGTCCGATTTTCGGTATTTTGACGGTTTTAGTCGCATTATTCGAAACGATGGCGGCATTTCTATTGTGTAAACCAAGAAATATTGATACTAGGCCTACATTTTAGTATATCATTCGATATATATAAATATATATACTAGGTGAGTGGATCTAGCTATGCGCGTACGTCGGTTTAAAGACCACCGTAATAACGCGAGTATCGAGAAGTTATTTTGATAAACATCAGTGAATATTTAGTCGGTCAACTGTGTAAAAATCACATAAAATTGAATTCTATATTTACTCCGAAAGGGAATAGACCGGAGAAGTTGACAGTATATCCATGAGGAGTGGTTTACCTTACATTGATACCAATTATATTGAAGTATGTACTCGTATGTGGGAGTGGTACTAAAATGTTTACAAGTATTCTTATTTTGTCTATTTTTACCCTTACCATTGATCGCTATGAAATTTTACATGAAATTCCAAGTCATGGTCAAGGACAACATCTATAGCTTTTGGTTTATATTTGAAATTTCACATGGGGAGAGGAATCTGGCTAAATAATAAGCGTGACGAAAATTAAAAAAAATCTATGCTGATCTATTGGCGTGTATTAAAAAATTGCTTGAAATTAAAAAAAAATAATAATATAAAAATTCTATTTTATTGTAAAAAATATATTCTGGTTAATTACATTTATTTTACTAATAATATTCTTTAAAGCCCCACGCCTCACTATGGCCCTTGAAAAAAAAATATTCTTTAATAAATCCAAGCCTTATATAGACCCTGATAAAATTTTCTTTAAAAATCCACGCTTATTATGGCCCTTGAAAAAATATTCTTTAGAAATCCACGCCTCACAGTGTGGTATCTATCCCGAATACTCCCTTCTATCCGGTTTTATAAGAAAATCAATTAAATTCTGATCGATTTGTCTATTCTTAACTATGGTCACTATCAGGACCACCTTATAAACTACATCGATAAGAAGCTAAATATGACCATAACGTAGGATGGAAAGCGTGTCCATTTAAAGTGATTGGCAAACAACATGAATGACCGTCTCACCGGTTATCCAGATACACCTCAAACAAATCCTCCTCCTTTGCTGGGCAACTAGACCACCTCTCAACAGCAAAACGAGATATAAACGAGACTTGTTGACTTGTTCGATCAAACATTCATAATGTTTAAGGTGCAGTTAAGTGTAATATTGTAGCACACCATATGCGTGGATTTTTTATACCCTCTAGCGATCCGTCTGTCCGTCCGTCCGTCTTTTGTAATCACGCTATGTTCTGAAGGAATTGAGATAGGGTGCTGAAATTTTGTATAGGGTTGTCTATTGTCTGCAGGCAGGTTAAGTTCGATTATATCCCTTCCAATTTTCGGTATTTTAGGGTTATTGAGGTCGTTTTTCAACCGAATGCGCTGAAATTTGGTACATTGAGTTTTTATTGGATACCAAATATTTCCACAATAAATTGTAAATATAGGTCCACTTTTTCTGGTAGCCACTATATAACGGTACCTCCTAATTTTCAGTATTTTGGGGGTTTTGATCGTATTTTTCCACCGAATTGGCTATAATTTAGTATTTTGAGTTCTTGATAGTTAAAAATATGTAAATGATAGGTAAATATAGGCCCAATTTTTCGGAAAGCCCCCATATAAGGGTACGTCCAATTTTCGGTATTTTGGGGTTCTTGAGCGCGTTCTTCTACCGAATTCTCTGCAATTTGGTTTTTTGTTATCGTATATAGTAAGAAATCTCCCCAACAAAAATTATTAATATTCACCAAACTCCCAAGGATTGTCCGAATGAGACAACATTTGGCACAGCGTACTGAAGTAAGTCCAATTCGATGTCTGTGATGTTTTGTTGAAATCGGTTCAGATATATATATAGCTCCCACACATTTAGCTTAACTATTGGCCTGTTTTTTTTATTTAAAAACCCTTTGTTCAACATTATTTTATTATTATTATTTCTTTTAATATATATTTTTTAATTTAAATCTCTTCTAACCCATAAAAAATATATGACCAACATTTATGGATATTAGTGAAATAAAATTGAATTGATTAGATTAGATTGCAATTTTATGGATCTAAAAAAATCACTTTCCATCAGATATCGAGTGAAATTTATAGCACTGTTTACCACAATGGGAAGTCAAAATTGGGATAATAAAATATATTGACTCAGAAGCACATAATTTATAGAGGGGGAACATGACAACAATTATTTAAAAATTTTATTTTTAATATTGACACTATGTCGCCAAGCAATCTGGGAGGGCTGAAAAGACTACGGTCCCATAGGAGAGCTTCAAGATAAAAAATTATGTACAAGTGTCACAAGAAAATTTAATTTTTTCCAGTTTCGAGTTATTTAAAAATTTGATTTTAAAACCATTTAATTTTTTTTAATTTCCAGATTTAAATATCCACCATTATTCATTTCCATTTCAATATTTATTCATTACACTCTATTATACACCTTTCCACATTCACTTTCATTTGCATACCTTATAGCCACAGGCGGCTTCGGATTGGTAACTCCATGAGAGCACCAAAAGGGCTGATAAGGCCCACAGGGTAATTTTCATTTTTTTAAATAATTTTTCAGGTCACCAAAATTTAATTTGATCACTATTTTTCCACTTCACAATTCCACGAATGAAATTTCAATTGCAAAACTATTGCAAATAAATTTTCGTTTTTTAAAGCGAATTTTCTTAAGACCGTTTCTCCCGATGTGTTGTTCGTTTCGTTAATAAATTCCAACTAAATTTAATTATTGTTTATTTTTTATTTTATTTATATAGGAGGTCGGTGGATCGGTAGGGTTTTGAATTTCAACAATGAAATGTACTCCAGAGGAAGCAGTGATAAGAATTCACGGAATGTTGAGTTTAACTCAAATTCGGTTTTGAGTGGTTTTTGCCGATATCGTTGTGAAAAATTTGAGAAAGACAAATTGAGTATTGCCTTAATCAATGAATAACAATAATATGAAGTGGCTATTGCCGCTTTTTATGTTGATAAAAAAAATGTTAGGAAAATAATTTATGATTAGCAAAAAAACAGAGTATCTGAAGGGTGTTGAATTTCTTTCTTGGCCAATTTGGGGATAAGAACAATTCTAGGAATTGTGATTACAAATTGAAATATTTAGAGGAAATTAATTTTACACAAAAAAATACATTTTAAAAAAATCCACGCCTATGTAGTCCTCAAAAAATATTTTAAAAAAATAATTTTTAAAAAATCCACGCCTATGTAGTCCTCAAAAAATAATTAAAAAAATAATTTTTAAAAAATCCACGCCTATGTAGTCCTCAAAAAATAATTTTTAAAAAATCCAAGCCTATGTAGTCCTCAAAAAATAATTTAAAAAAAATAATTTTTAAAAAATCCGTGCCTGTGGTTAGCCCTCAAAAAATAATTTTTAAAAAATCCACGCCTATGGTTAGCCCTCAAAAAATAATTAAAAAAATAATTTTTAAAAAATCCACGCCTATGGTTAGCCCTCAAAAAATAATTTAAAAAATAATTTTTTAAAAAATCCACGCCTAAGTTTGGGAGTAAATATTAATTTTTAAAAAATCCGCGCCTATAGTTACCCCTCAAAAAATTATTTAAAAAAAATTTATTTAAAAAAAATTATTTAAAAAAAAATTCTTTAAAAAAAAATTATTTTTAAAAAATCCACGCCTACATTCTGTAAAAAATCCATGTTTAGACACCAAAAAATTATTTCAAAAAATACGAAATTTCCGGTGATTTCCCTAAGAGCATGACTAAGTTTGCCCACAATAATCAGTTTGGTCAATTTTGGCTCGAACATAATTCTCCAATATCATTGCCTAATCTTATCGTCATTTGATTATGACCGTCAAAAGATTTTCGGTTATCGGTAAAAATATAAGCCAATTGTTTGAACATATTTATTTTAATGTTCAATTAATAAGTAATACATATTGAATTGTTGTAGTTGTTGTAAAAAAACACGTCTCTGAATGGGTTATCAAAGTAAGGGGATATACAAAAGTAAGGGTGACTTATTCGAAAAAGAAAGGGTTTAATAATAATCGCTTGGCTACCAAATGACATTTAAAATATCGGTTGCCTGGGTGAGGTCAAAGATGTCCTTAATAAAATATTCTTTAATAAATCCACGCCTTATATAGACCCTGACAAAATATTCTTTAATAAATCCACGCCTCAGTTGGCCCTTGAAAAATATTCTTTAATAAATCCACGCCTCAGTTGACCCTGACAAAATATTCTTTAATAAATCCACGCCTTATTATGGTCCTTGGAAAAATATTCCTTAAAAATCCACGCCTCATATAGAGCCTTCTTTAAAATGAAATATTAAATATTCTTTTCACGCCTAACAGTGTGGTATCTATCCGAATACTCCCTTCCCTTAAAAGAAAACCAATTAAATTCTGAATGATTTTTCTTTTCTTTACTATGGTCATCATTAGGACCAACTGATAAACTACATCGATAAGAAGGTAAATGTGACCATAACTTAAGACAGAAAGCGTGTCCATTTCAAGTGATTGACAAACAACATGAATGGCCGTCTCATCGGTTATTCAGATACACCTCAAGCAAATCCTCCTCCGTTGCTGGGCAACTAGACCACCTCTCAACAGCAAAACGAGATATAAACGAGACCTGTTGACTTGTTCGATCAAACATACATAATGTTTAAGGTGCAGTTAAGTGTAATATTGTAGCACACCGGTATTTTGGGGTTCTTTTTTTTTTTTTGAACCGTATATGGTAACAAATCTCCCTACCAAAAATAATTAATATTCACCTCCTTTTTGCGGTAGTCCCCCATATAACACCCTTTTTATACCCTTCACCACACTGTGGTTTAGGGTATTATGTATTTGTCCATATGTTTGTAACAGCAAAAGGAAACGAGATATACACATGGTTCCTTTTGAGAATATGCATAGAATCACTTTCTGAGTCGACATATTCATGTCCGTCTGTCCATCTGTTGGTGTTAAATTGTAAACAATGTACAGGTCATATTTATAATCTGAATTCGATGAAATTTGGCACAGCTCATTTATTTGGCCCAAGGACGAATTGGGAAAAATCGGTTCAGATTTAGCGGATATGGCACAAAATATATATTTTAACATGTGCCAAATTTTATAAACCAAAGATATACCATATATATATTTTTTCCACGAAATTCGGATAGCGTAATGAATTAGGTGCCAACTTTTATTGTTATATGGTGTGTGTTAAGTTTCCAATGTTAAATTGTAAAAAATCAGGTCGCATTTATGATCCGAATTTGATGAAAATATAGTTCCATATTGAAATTGGGAAAAATCGGATTAAGATATAGCTCCCATATATATTTTCATCCGATTTAATGTAAATGGTGTACCAAAGTCCCTATATATCTTTCGATTTGCACGAAATTTGGCACCGCATACTGAATTGAGTCTAGAATGATGTGTGTTAAGTTTCCAAAAAATCGGTTCAGATTTAGATACAGCTCCCACATATATTTTCATCCGATTTAATGTAAATGGTGTACGAAGGTCCCTATATATTTTTCAATTTGCACGAAATTTGACACAGCATACTGAATTGAGTCTAAAATTATGTGTGTTAAGTTTGCTGAAAATCGGTCCAGTTTTAAATGTAGCTCCCATATATAGTTTCGTCGGATTTTATGTAAAGTCCCTATATATGTAAAGTCCCTATATATCTTTCGGTTTGCACAAAATTTGGCATATCGTACTGAATTGAGCCTAGAGTGATGTCAGCCAAGTTTCGTGAAAATCGGCCCAGATTTAGATATAGCTCCCTTATATATTTTCGTCCGATTTTAGGTAAATGGTGCACCAAAGACCGTATATATCCTTCGATTTGCACGAAATGTCGCATAGGGTTCTGAATTAAGGGGACCCCCCCATTCTCGGGGTCAAAATTTTTGTTGATATAATTCGAATCTACACTGATTAAAGAATGTCTCTAAAAAATTTCAAGTGAAAATCTCAAGAACTCTTGAAGATATAGTCGATTTATTGTATCAGCATCAAGTGACGGCTGAAGGGCTTCTCAAACTTTAAACGCGTTTTTCTCTAAACATTTTTTTGCGAATGGCGGGCACGATAACTCAAAAACTAATAACCCAATCGGTTCCAAATTTTGCAACGTTTCTCTGGGAGTGTATAGCTCTCGTATGAACTAGGATAAAGCAAATCGGTGAAGATCTTCCTTATTTTTTAACTTGGCTTTTGGTAAAAAATCTGCGATTTTTCAAAAATAATTTTTCAAAAGTCCACCATTTTGTTAATTTTAGAGCGAAGTCAATAATCCTAGTTCATACGAGAGCCAGACATGTACTCTTTCTAACACCGTTGGAATTTTCGGATTCCGATGTTCCAGTGAGGAGTTATCATGCCCGCCATCAAAAATAAGGACTTTTCTTTAATTACAAAAAACAACAACAAAACAATAACAAAATTTTTTTGTAAATTATTTTTCTTCTCTTTTAAATCTTCAATTATATATGTGCAAAGTTACAAACCTTAACAAGCATTGGTATTGATTTACCAGCCCATTGAAAATCTTGAAAAAATAAAATCGAGAATGGGGGGGTGTTCCCTTAAGTCTAGAACGATGTGTGCAAAGTTTCGTGAAAATCGGTTCAGATTTAGATATAGCTCCCATATATATTTTGGTCCGATTTTATGTAATTGGTGCACCAATTCCCTATATATCTTTCGATTTGCACGAATTTTGGTATAATGTACTGAATTAAGTCTAGAACGGTGTTGCTAAGCTTCGTGGAAGGATCCATAGCTAAGCCGATTGACACAACGTACTGAAGTAATGCAAATTAGTCTCTGGCAAGTTTTCCTGAAGTCGGTTCAGATATAGATATATAACAAAAACGTGACGTTTGTTAGGATACATATGTAGGATATACCCAAAGTGGTGATGGGTATCATATAGTCGGCCCAGTCCGACTTTAATACTTTACTCACTGGTTTAAAAATTCATTTTCAAGGGTCTATACAAGATCTGGATTTTTTAAATAATTTTTTCAAGAATCTATACAAGGCGTAGATTTTTTTCAAGGGTCTATACAAATCGTGGATTTTGAAAATTAATTTTCAAGGGTCTATACAAATCGTGGATTTTGAAAATTATTTTTTCAAGGGTCTATACAAATCGTGGATTTTTTTTGTGCTTTAATTTTGTTCTCCACTGTGTGAGTTTTTCCTGTCCTGTGGACTTATCTGTCGATGACACTGCACTTGCCTTCTTGAAATACTAGACTTAGTTGCTCAATGAAAATTGCAATAGAACGATGAAACCCCCTTCCCCTCGTGTAAACAAAACCCTCCATGCCCAGTACCATCTGACACCGGTTTGCCGGCTCACTTTTACTCAACTCAGAATCGTCAAGATGCCCCACTTGAGTGGGTCTTACTTCTGCCGGCTAAGTTATGTGTGTGCGTGTTTTTATATGCGGATTGAGTTTGAGTCTAGTCTTAATAAATATCAATTAAATTCCACACAATAGCTCAGTTGAGCTTGAGACTTCGTGGGGTTATCACATAACAGCGGGATTGTTAGTGCAGTGTGAAAAATAAAGTGAAGTGGAAAAAAATTGGAAAATTTATTTGAAAAACAAAAAATATATTAAAAACAACAACAACAATGTTAATTTCCGACTTTAAGTCGGCCAAATTTTTAGCTTGCCTCTGCATTTTCTTGGCCCTGGTGGAAAATGCTGAATTACTTCCCCAGAAGAGGCAGCAACAAAAATCAATGCCAAATGTAGGGGCTCATTGTGGCTATGCGGTAGGTCAAACAATGTTATCGCTGATAATGTAAAGAACACACAAAATAACAACAACAAAAACTACAAGAAAAAAAGAAAACATCTTCATTATTCTCAAAAAAAAAGAAATTAAAAAAATCTACAACAAATTAAAAAAAAATAAAAAATCTAAATAAATTATTTTTTAGAGTTGCCCCAAAACCAAGCCGCATATGCTGAATGTCCACTTGGTTCCGCACACCCATGATGATGTAGGCTGGCTGAAGACAGTCGATCAATATTATTATGGCAGTCAAACGTTGATACAAAAAGCCGGCGTGCAATATATTTTAGATTCAGTGGTTGCGGAATTGCTAAAGGATCCCGAGAAACGTTTTATTTATGTCGAGTCGGCATTCTTTTTCAAATGGTGGTCCGAACAGTCGGATGCCATGAAGCAGCAAGTCCGTATGTTGGTCGATGAAGGGCGTTTGGAATTTATTGGCGGGGCCTGGAGTATGAATGATGAGGCAACGACCCATTATCAGAGTATCATTGATCAATTTGCATGGGGATTGAGGTGAGTTGTGAAAAACCTTAATAAATTAAAATGCAGAAGAAATTAATTTTTAAAAAAATCCGCATCTCCTATGGACTCTTAAAAACTTAATTTTAAAAATCCACGCGAACCTTGAAAATGTAATGAACCTTGAAAAAATAATTTTAAAAAATTCACACCGTGTACAGAGCCTTAAAACATTATTTTAAACCAGTGAGCGGAGCAGTATAGTCGGACGTGGCCGACCATATGATACCCTACACAACTTCCACGAAAATCTAACTTTGTGTGGTTCTATATTCTGTGCTTGGGCAATATTTCGCGATATGTTCACCCTCTTGACCCACTAGAGGTCTACAAATATTACTAATATTCAGTAGAGCCCTTCTAATTACTTATTCAGATTCCCTTCACCGTGGGTCATGTTGTGATGTTCGGATTTCAATTGTGGCCTTAAGATCGATTCGAAAAAAACACAAAAAATTAAGTTTTCGGTACACTTCATACCAATATTATTATCTGTTCATTACCGAAAATTGTAGGCGTTGTCCTTGACCATACCTGGAACCTCATGGAATATTTCAAAGTCATCAGCGCTATATTTTCGCCCTCTAGTGTGGTAATGACTTACTAAATAATATCTGATTACCTAGCCACTTGTAAATATTAATGTGTAACTCCCACATCCGAGTACATACAACAATATAGTTGATATCAATTTAAAGGTCAACCACTCCTCTTGGATATATCACCAACTTCTCGGCTCTATGTCCTGCAGGAGTAAATATATACGCTATAGAATAAAAATGTTCTTATTTTTCACACAAAAGTCAGGGTCCATTTGACCCGCTAAATATTGGCCGATCTTTATCAAAACAGGCTTGCTTATTCTTTGGCCCGATCCCCTTCTCCATGAAAAAATTCGCCATGTTCAGGCCATAGCTGAGGTCTCTGGAGTAACCAGAAAATCAGAAAAAATTAAGATTTTGGTCCATTTCGACCCCTAAATATTAATCGATCTTTACCAAAAACAATAGGGATCTTCATTGGCCTGAACCCATCCTACATGCAAAATTTCATGAAGATTGGTCCATAACTGTGGCCTGTATCGTGAACAGACAGATGGACGGACACCCATGTCTAGATCGACTAAGCTAGTCGAGATATGACGATCGATATACTTAAACCGATCGATCCACGCCTTGAGTAGAGCCCTGAAAATTTAATTTAGAAAATCCACGCCTTGAGTAGAGCCCTGAAAATTTAATTTAGAAAATCCACGCCTTGAAAATTTAATTTAGAAAATCCACTCCTTGAGTAGAGCCTGGAAAACTTAATTTAAACCAGTAAGGAAAGTAGTTAAGACGGACGGGGCCGACTATATGATACCCATCACCACTTTGGCTATATTCAACAGATGAAATCTAACAGACGTCGCATTTTTAAAGGACCAGTAAAATGAAATTCGATCCATAAACATGTCATTCTGCAACCAATACTAATTTTTTTTCATTTGGTCAGATATAGAAGCTATATCTAAATCGGGAGCGATTTTCAGAAAACTCAACACACATCATTCTAGACCTAATTCATTACGCTATGCCAAATTTCGTGCAAATCGAACGATATATAGAAACTTCGGTGCACCATTTCCATTAAATCGGACGAAAATATATATGGGAGCTATATCTAAATCTGAACCGATTTTTCCGAAAATTAGCACACATCATTATAGACCTAATTCAGTACGCTGTGCCAAATTTCGTGCAAATCGAAAGATATATAGGGACTTTGGTGCACCATTTCTATTAAATCGGACGAAAATATATATGGGAGCTATATCTAAATCTGAACCGATTTTTCCGAAAATTAGCACACATCATTATAGACCTAATTCAGTACGCTGTGCCAAATTTCGTGCAAATCGAAAGATATATAGGGACTTTGGTGCACCATTTACCTTAAATCGGACGAAAATATATGTGGGTTCTATATCTAAATCTAGATCGATTTTCAGGAAACTTAACACACATCATTCTAGACCTTATTCATTACGATATACAAAATTTCGTGCAAATCGAGAGATATGTAGGGACTTCGGTGCACCATTTACCTTAAATCGGACGGAAATATAGATGAGAAATCTGAACCGATTTTCAGGAAAATTAACACAAATCATTCTAGACCTAATTCATTACGCTGTGCCAAACTTCGTATAAATCGAAAGATATATAGGGACTTTGGTGCACCATTTACATTAAATCGGACGAAAATATATATGGGAGCTATGTCTAAATCTGAACCGATTATCACGAAACTTAACACACATCATTCTAGACCTCATTCATTACGCTATGCCAAATTTCATGCAAATCGAAAGATATATAGGGACTTTGGTACACCATTTACATAAAAACGGATGAAAATATAGTTGGGAGCTATATATATATCTGAACCGATTTTCAGGAAACTTAGCACACTTCATTCTAGGCATAGTTCAGTACGCTGTGCCAAATTTCGTGCAAATCGAAAGCTATTTAAGGACTTTGCTGCACCATTTACCTTAAATCGGACGAAAATATATATGGGAGATATATCTAAATTTGAACGAAAATTAGCACACATCATTCTAGGCTTAATTTAGTACACTGTGCCAAATTTCATGCAAATCGAAAAATATATAGGGACTTTGGTGCACCATCTACATTAAATCGGACGAAAATATTAATGGGAGTTATATGTAAATCTGGACCGATTTTCAGGAAACTTAACACCCATAATTGTTTACCTAATTCAGTGCGCTCTGCCAAATTTCGTGCAAATTGAAAGATATGTAGGGACTTTGGTACATCATTTACATTAAATCGGACGAAAATATATATGGGAGCCATATCTAAATCTGAACCGATTTTCAGGAAACTTAACAAGCACCATTCCAGACCTAATTTATTACGTTGTACAAAATTTCGTGTAAATCGAAAGATATATAGGGACTTCGGTGCACCATTTACATCGGACGAAAATATATATGGGAGCTATATCTAAATTTGAACCGATTTTCCCCAATTTCAATAGGTCCTTGAGCCAAATAAGTGACGTATGCCAAATTTCATCTAAGTCGGATCATAAATGCGACCTGTACATTGTTCACAAAAATACATGGACGGACGGACAGACGGACATGCGTAAATCGATTCAGAATGTGATTCTATGCATATTCTCAAAAGGAACCATGTGTCTATCTCGTTTCCTTTTGCCTGTTACAAACATATGCACAAAGACATAATGCCCTGTACCACAGTGTGGTGAAGGGTATACAAAATCCACGCCTTGTATAGACCCTTGAGAAAATAATTAAAAAAACACGCCTTGAGTAAACCCTTGAAAAATGTTATTTTAAAAAATCCACGCCTTGAGTAAAGCCTTGAACATATAATCAACGCTTGGTTTGGACCCTTGAAAAATATTTTTAAAAATCCACTCTTCTTCTTCTTCTTTTATTTGAATTCGTCTCTCTTTGTTTTCTTCCCCCTAGACGCCTCAATGACACCTTTGGTGAATGTGGCCGACCTCGCATTGGCTGGCAAATTGACCCCTTCGGCCATTCCCGTGAAATGGCCTCAATGTTTGCCCAAATGGGCTTTGATGGCCTCTTCTTTGGCCGTTTGGATTATCAGGACAAGGATGAGCGCTTAATGACGAAGAAAGCGGAAATGATTTGGAGAGCTTCGGCAAATTTAGATGAAGATGCCCATCTCTTCACCGGAGCCCTTTATAACCAATATCAACCCCCACCAGGATTCTGTTTCGATATTCTATGTGCCGATGAGCCGATTATCGATGGCAAACACAGTCCGGATAATAATGTCAAGAGGAGGGTAAGTACGAATGGAGTTCGAAATTAAATTTTTGGAAATTTGGAAAATTTTTGAAATGTTGTTTTTTGGCCAGGTCGATGAATTCTTTGAGTTTGTCAAGAAACAATCAAAATATTATCGCACCAATAATATTATTGTGACCATGGGCGGTGATTTTACCTATCAGGATGCCAATGTTTATTATAAAAATTTGGATAAATTAATAAGGTAAAAATTAAATTTTGAAAAAAATATTTGGATATTGGAAAAAAATTCGGCTTAACTTGGCTTAGAGTGTAAAAAATCCTTACCCATGTTCAGAATATTTTTGTAGGGGTGGCTGAGGACCCACCGGATCTTTCAGCTACTCCTTTGTAGTAGTTACCTCCTTACAAATGACCTCCATGTTAATAAGACCCCATATACACCCCCATAGGTAGATGAATTCTTTAAAATAGCCCTTGAAATGGCAGAGGGCTATCGCTCCAATAATATTCTGGTTACCATGGGTGAGGATTTCCATTACCAAAATGCCAATATGTGGTATAAAAATTTGGATAAATTAATAAAGTAAGCCGATTTTTTTCCAAGTCCAAGAAAGTCTCTCTCTAACACCCCACCCTTCTCCGCACAGATATGCCAATGAACGCCAGGTGAATGGCTCCCAAATAAATCTGCTCTACTCCACTCCCTCATGCTATCTGAAGGCTCTCCACGATGCTGGCATTACATGGCCCACAAAGGATGATGATTTCTTCCCCTATGCCTCCGATCCGCATGCCTATTGGACGGGATATTTCACCTCACGGCCCACCATCAAACGTTACGAACGCATGGGCAATAATTTCTTACAGGTTTGTAAACAGCTGACCACCCTCACTCCGAACTTGCATCCGGAATTATTACCTCACCTCGGTTTTATGCGTGAAACGATGGGTGTAATGCAACATCATGATGCAGTAACGGGTACCGAAAAACAAAAGGTGGCCTATGATTATGCTCGTCATCTTAGTGTGGGAATGCGAACATGTTCGGCTAATGCCCGTTCGGTATTGAATGTTTTGGTTGAAGGTGACTCACCGCGTCCGAAACGTTATGGCAAACCACGACCGGTGAAATTTGAATTTAAAACTTGTTCGTTGCTGAATATTAGTTCGTGTGATGTGTCGGAGCAGAGTGAGCAATTTGTGTTGACGCTTTATAATCCTCTGGGTCATTTGACAGATGAATATGTGAGGATCCCAGTGCCAGATGTTAACTATGTTGTCAAAGATTATAAAGGTAAGAGATTTTTAATATTAAAACCAGTAACGAAAAGTAGTAAAGTAGGACTGAGCCGACTATATGATACCCTTCACCACTTTGGGTATATTGCGCATATGTATCCTTACAATAGCATGTCAATGTTCCCTCGAAGGAACATACACATGCCTTTCTGCAACCTATGATAAATTTATAGGATATATAGACACTTTGGTACACCATTTCATTAAAATCGGACGAAAATATATGTTGGAGCTATATAGAAATCTGAACCGATCTTCTAAATTTAACACACATCATTCTAGACTCAATTCATTACGCTATGCAAAATTTCGTGCAAATCGAAGGAAATGTAGGGACTTTGGTGCACCATTTCATTAAAATCGGACGAAAATATATATGGGAGCTATATAGAAATCTGAACCGATCTTCGAAAATTTAACACACATCGTTCTTGGCTCAATTCAGTACGCTATGCCAAATTTCATGCAAATCGAAGGATATATAGGGACTTTGGTGCACGATTTACCTAAAATCGGACGAAAATATATATGGGAGCTATAGCGAAATCCGAACCGATTTTCACGAAACTTAAAACACATCATTCTAGACATAATTAAGTACGCTATGCCAAATTTCGTGCAAATCGGGACTGTGGTACACCATTTACATTGAATCGGACGAAAATATATATGAGAGCTATATCGAAATCTGAACCGATATTCGAGAAATTTAACACACATCGTTCTAGACTTATTTCAGTACGCTATGCCAAATTTCATGCAAATCGAAGGATATATAGGGACTTTGGTAAACCATTTGCATTAAATCGGGTGAAACTATATATGGGAGCTATATAGAAATCTGCACCGATTTTCCCGAAACTTAACTCACATCACTCTAGACATTATTTAGAACGTTATGCCAAATTTCGTGTAAATCGAAAGATATATAGGGACTTTGGTGCACCATTTCATTAAAATCGGACGAAAATATATATGGGAGCTATATAGAAATCTGAACCGATTTTCACGAAACTTGGCAGACATCACTCTAGACTTTATTTATTACGCTATGCCAAATTTCGTGCAAATCGAAGTATATATAAGGACTTTGGTGCCCTATTTACCTAAAATCGGAGGGAATATATATATGAGCTATATAGAAATCTGAACCGATCTTCGCGAAATTTAACACACATCGTTCTAGACTTAATTCAGTACGATATGCCAAACTTCATGCAAATCGAAGGATATAAAGGACTTTGGTGCACTATTTACATAAAATCGGACGAAGATATATATGGGAGCTATATAGAAATCTGAACCGATTTTCCCGAAACTTAGCACACATCATTCTAGACTCAATTCATTACGCTATGCCAAATTTCGTGCAAATCGAAAGATATATAGGGACTTTGGTGCACCAATTACATTAAATCGGGTGAAACTATATATGGGAGCTATATCTAAATCTGAACCGATTTGCACGAAACTTGGCAGACATCACTCTAGGCTCAATTCAGTACGTTATGCCAAATTTCGTGCAAAACGAAAGATATATAGGGACTTTGGTACACCATTCGGACGAAAAAATATATGAAGCTATGTCTAAATCTGAACCGATTTTTACCAATACCAATAGGGTTCGTCCTTGGGCCAAATAAATGAGCTGTGCCAAATTTCATCCAGTTCGGATTTTAAATGCGCCCCAATAGTTTGTAACGCCGCGAAATATTGGTCCTAGACCCACCATTAAGTATACCGATCGCCATATCTCGACTAGCTGAGTCGATTTTGACATGTGTGTCCGTCCATCTGTCCATTATAATTTGTAAACACGATACAGGCCACATTTATGGATGGAGTGGACCGAAAACCTATTTTTTTTTTTTGAGTCGATTTATAGGCAGCTATTATAAGCCGAACATCACTATACAGCCCATAGTGAAGGGAATCGGGACAAGTAATTAGAAGGGCTGTACTGAATATTAGTAATATTCGGAAAATATGTCAGTGTAAGGAAAAGGTGCTGTGTACCTCTTATCGGGCAAGAGGGTGCAAATATCACGAAATATTGCCCAGGATCGGAGTAAACATCCGCAGAAAGTTAGAACTCCGTAGTAATTGTTTAGGGTATCGTATGGTAGGCCCCGTCCGACTATATTGCTTCGCTCACTGGTTTCAAATTAATTTTCAAGGCTCAGACCAAGACTTCAATTGTTCTAATTAATTTTCAAGGGCCTATAAAAGGCTGGATTTTTTTCAAATAAATTTTCAAGATCTATTTTTTTCAAAAACTTAATTTTTATTTTATTACATTTTCTTCTCCCCAGATGTGGTCATGGACATCCAATATGTCCCTGTGGCCGACCCTGTACAAAATCTGACCTTCCGTGACTCTCAGGCAAAGTATGAATTGATATTCTTGGCCACTGAGCTACCGGCATTTGGTTATAAGTCCTACTACATCAAGAAGACCAATGGACATCACATGAAACCCGTACCAGATCCGGAGAATATGTCCAGCTTGATTGATATTGGTAATGAGGTAGGGAGGAGAATTTGCCGATATTTTTATAAAAAAAAATATTTTTAAATTTTTTTCTGTCCCCTGTAGTACCTGCGCCTGACCTTTGACACCAATGGCTTCCTGACCAATGTTGAGGCCGATGGGGTCTCTCGTATAGTGAATCAGGAATTTTTGTATTACGAAGCAGCCATTGGTAATAATCGTGAATTTGTAAACCGCTCCTCGGGAGCCTATATCTTTAGACCCAAGGAGGATAAGGTACGCACCGTAACCGTGGCTCCGGAGATCACCGTATATCGTGGCGATTTAGTCGAGGAGGTCCATCAGAAATTTAACGATTGGATTAGCCAGGTGATTCGCGTCTACAAGGGTAAACGTTATGCCGAATTTGAATGGATGGTTGGCCCTATCCCCATCGACGATGGTGTGGGCAAAGAAATCATTACTCGCTTTAATGCCGACATTAAATCGGAAGGTATTTTCTATACCGATTCGAATGGTCGTGAAATGATTAAACGATTGAAAGATCATCGTGACACCTGGAGGGTGAAATTGGAGGAACATATTGCGGGTAATTATTATCCGGTGACCACAAAGATAGCTTTGGAGGATGAACATGCCCGTATGGCCATATTGACGGATCGTGCTCAGGGTGGTTCGTCATTGTCGGATGGTTCATTGGAATTGATGGTTCATCGACGTCTACTGCACGATGATGCCTTTGGTGTTGATGAGTCATTGAATGAGACAGCCTATGGCCAGGGTTTGGTGGCCAGGGGTACACATTATTTGCTATTCGGTTCGTCACAGCTCGATCAAAGTCCCACCATACAGGCATGGGAAAGATTTACTCAATTGGAGAAAACTTTGTCGCCCTGGAAATTCTTTAGTCAGACGAATTATAGCTATACCCAATGGAGGCAACAGTTTACGAATATTGTGAGTTAGATACAGCCCCTCTGACACCCTTCCTTGGAACCTCTACTAACCTCCATTTTTTATTTCAGTTCACCGCCATGTCTGCGAACTTACCCAAAAATATCCACCTCCTCACCTTTGAACCCTGGCATGACCACGAAATCTTGGTACGCTTTGAACATCTGCTGGAAAAGGATGAGGATCCAATGTTCTCGAAATTTGTGCAATTCAATGTCAAGAACTTATTCGCCGGATTCTCAATCAGTGATATGCGAGAAACGACCCTGGATGGTAATGCTTGGCTTGATGAAAATCGTCGCATGGAATTTGTACCCGATCCTGAGGAAGATAACTATGAAAATTATGCCGTCTTCGCAAAGGCCTATAATTATGTCCAGCTACAAAAGGCTGATCGACCAATGGTTTCGACCGAGTTCTATGAGGAACTATTGCCGGCTGGTAAATTGGGTGCGGAAAATAATCGCTTGAAACGTGACACGTTGCACGATCATCAGGAATTGAATCGTTTGCGTAGCGAAAAATTGAAGCGAATGAAATATTCCATTGGGGAATTGCCCTTGGAGAAGAATGATGATCGCAAATTTTTAATTGAACTGAGTGCCATGGAGATAAGGACATTTATTTTGACCTTAGGACCAGTTTGAAAAACAAATTAAATATTTTGAAAGTAAATTCAAATAAATAAAAATATTGATATTCAGCAAAATAAAATTTCAGATTTTTTATACGGTAGTTCAAAAATCTCAAAATATTTTTTTAATGGGTCATCCACACATGCGGATTTTCCATAATTATTTTTTCCACGCCTTGTATAGGCCCTTGAAAAAATTATTTAAAAAATCCACGCCTTGTATAGGCCCTTGAAAAAATTATTTAAAAAATCCACGCCTTATATAGGCCCTTGAAAAAATTATTTAAAAAAACCACGCCTTGTATAGGCCCTTGAAAAAATTATTTAAAAAATCCACGTCTTGTATAGGCCCTTGAAAAAATTATTTAGAAAATCCACGCCTTGTATAGAGCCTTAAAAAAATTATTTAAAAAAATCCACGCCTTGTCTAGAGCCTTAAAAAAATTATTTAAAAAAATCCACGCCTTGTATAGAGCCTTGAAAAAATTATTTAAAAAATCCACGCCTTGTATAGAGCCTTAAAAAAATTATTTAAAAAATCCACGCCTTGTATAGAGCCTTGAAAAAATTATTTAAAAAATCCACGCCTTTTATAGAGCCTTGAAAAAATTATTTAAAAAATCCACGCCTTGTATAGAGCCTTGAAAAAATTATTTAAAAAATCCACGCCTTGTATAGAGCCTTGAAAAAATTATTTAAAAAATCCACGCCTTGTATAGAGCCTTGAAAAAATTATTTAAAAAATCCACGCCTTGTATAGAGCCTTGAAAAAATTATTTAAAAAATCCACGCCTTGTATAGAGCCTTGAAAAAATTATTTAAAAAATCCACGCCTTGTATAGAGCCTTGAAAAAATTATTTAAAAAATCCACGCCTTGTATAGAGCCTTGAAAAAATTATTTAAAAAATCCACGCCTTGTATAGAGCCTTGAAAAAATTATTTAAAAAATCCACGCCTTGTATAGAGCCTTGAAAAAATTATTTAAAAAATCCACGCCTTGTATAGAGCCTTGAAAAAATTATTTAAAAAATCCACGCCTTGTATAGAGCCTTGAAAAAATTATTTAAAAAATCCACGCCTTGTATAGAGCCTTGAAAAAATTATTTAAAAAATCCACGCCTTGTATAGAGCCTTGAAAAAATTATTTAAAAAATCCACGCCTTGTATAGAGCCTTGAAAAAATTATTTAAAAAATCCACGCCTTGTATAGAGCCTTGAAAAAAATATTTAAAAAATCCACGCCTTGTATAGAGCCTTGAAAAAAATATTTAAAACATCCACGCCTTGTATAGAGCCTTGAAAAAATTATTTAAAAAATCCACGCCTTGTATAGGCCCTTGCGCCTTGTATAGGCCCTTGAAAAAAAATATTTAAAAAATCCACGCCTTGTATAGGCCCTTGAAAAAAATTATTTAAAAAATCCACGCCTTGTATAGGCCCTTGAAAAAAATTATTTAAAAAATCCACGCCTTGTATAGGCCCTTGAAAAAATTATTTAAAAAATCCACGCCTTGTATAGGCCCTTGAAAAAATTATTTAAAAAAATCCACGCCTTGTATAGGCCCTTGAAAAAATTATTTAAAAAATCCACGCCTTGTATAGGCTCTTGAAAAAATTATTTAAAAAATCCACGCCTTGTATAGACCCTTGAAAAAATTATTTAAAAAATCCACGCCTTGTATAGACCCTTGAAAAAATTATTTAAAAAATCCACGCCTTGTATAGACCCTTGAAAAAATTATTTAAAAAATCCACGCCTTGTATAGGCCCTTGAAAAAATTATTTAAAAAATCCACGCCTTGTATAGAGCCTTGAAAAAATTGTTTAAAAAATCCACGCCTTGTATAGAGCCTTGAAAAAATTATTTAAAAAATCCACGCCTTGTATAGAGCCTTGAAAAAATTATTTAAAAAATCCACGCCTTGTATAGAGCCTTGAAAAAATTATTTAAAAAATCCACGCCTGGTATAGAGCCTTGAAAAAATTATTTAAAAAATCCACGCCTTGTCTAGAGCCTTAAAAAATTATTTAAAAAAATCCACGACTTGTCTAGAGCCTTGAAAAAATTATTTAAAAAAATCCACGCCTTGTCTAGAGCCTTAAAAAAATTATTTAAAAAATCCACGCCTTGTATAGAGCCTTGAAAAAATTATTTAAAAAATCCACGCCTTGTATAGAGCCTTGAAAAAATTATTTAAAAAATCCACGCCTTGTATAGAGCCTCGAAAAAATTATTGAAAAAAAAATTTTAAAAAATCCAATTATTTAAAAATTCCACGCCCTGTATAGAGCCCTGAAAAAAAAATTCTAAAAAATCCTTGCTTGTGGATGATCTTTGAAATAGTGGCCACGTTTTACCTGAACCTTGATTTTTTGTTTGTTTTTCTATTTGGTTATGCAGCGACATTGAACAGGATATTGTTCATGAAATTTTATTTATAACCCACCAAAGCCAACTTCGGAATTTTTTCATTTTTCCTTATCCTTGACCTTGAGTTTTTTGTTTGATCAAACACAAAGGGAATTGTTACCCTTTATGGAGAGAAAAAAACAACAACAATGGGAGACAAAGCGACACGAAAAGGAAATAAAATAAATAATTCCGCCTCTTAGAGGAACGTATCCCGCCGAATGAAGTCATTAATGAATTTTAAATGGGCAGGCAGATTTCTATAAAAGGATGGCGCACGAAGCTAACGGCGAGAAGTCTATTTGAAAAAGTGTAACTGAGTGAAACGAAAATTCTCGAAATGGCATTTTGGGCAACAGTGAATAGTAAAAATCCCACACCACCGAAAATCACCCCCGTCTTGAATCCGAATCAGCGTCAATTTCTGCAGGATGAAATTACCTATCAAAATAAAATTAATTTTCTTGCGGAAAATGTGGGAGCAAATCTCACGGATTTTTATGTACGCAAGGAAGAGGTTATCGACGACCCGGAACTATTGGATAAACACGACTCCTTCTATCATAACACCAAAAGCCTGTTGGTTCTCTTTCAAATTATGGGTGTTATGCCGCTACATCGTAATCCCCCAATACGGGGAATACCTCGCACAGGCTACTCGTGGAAATCGAAGCAATTCTTTTGGGCCCTTTTTGTGTATATTATACAGACAAGTGTGGTCGTGATGGTGTTACGGGAGAGAGTCATCCACTTCAAGGAGGGTCCTGACAAACGTTTCGATCAGGCCATTTATAATGTCATCTTCATTAGTTTGTTATTCACCAATTTCCTGCTACCCGTGGCCAGTTGGAGACATGGCCCTCAAGTGGCGATTTTCAAAAATATGTGGACCAATTATCAATTTAAATTTTATAAAGTCACGGGATCGCCAATTGTGTTTCCTAATTTATATCCCCTCACCTGGGGTCTGTGCATTTTTTCATGGGTTTTGAGTATTCTGATAAATTTGTCACAATATTTTCTTCAACCGGATTTTAAATTTTGGTATACTTTTGCCTATTATCCGCTGATTGCTATGCTGAATTGTTTTTGTAGTTTGTGGTAAGTTTGAATTTTTTCCTATGGAGGTCAAAATATTTTTTTGAAACTTCACTAGGTATATAAATTGTACGGCCTTTGGCATTGCCAGCAAGGCCTTGTCGGAGAATTTACGCAAGACTCTGAGAGGAGATAAGCCGGCAGAAAAATTAAGTGAATACAGATATTTGTGGGTGGATCTCAGTCACATGATGCAGCAATTGGGTAAGTCTCCTCAAGGACCCAATATATTTTTTTGAAGGCGTGGATTTTTGAAAAGCAATTTTTCAATGGTCTATACGAGGAGTGGATTTTTTAAAAGCAATTTTCAAGGGTCTATACAAGGCGTGGATTTTTTAAACTTAATTTCTCAAGGGCCTATACAAGGCGTGGATTTTTTAAACTTAATTTCTCAAGGGCCTATACAAGGCGTGGATTTTTTAAACTTAATTTCTCAAGGGCCTATACAAGGCGTGGATTTTTTAAACTTAATTTCTCAAGGGCCTATACAAGGCGTGGATTTTTTAAACTTAATTTCTCAAGGGCCTATACAAGGCGTGGATTTTTTAAACTTAATTTCTCAAGGGCCTATACAAGGCGTGGATTTTTTAAACTTAATTTCTCAAGGGCCTATACAAGGCGTGGATTTTTTAAACTTAATTTCTCAAGGGCCTATACAAGGCGTGGATTTTTTAAACTTAATTTCTCAAGGGCCTATACAAGGCGTGGATTTTTTAAACTTAATTTCTCAAGGGCCTATACAAGGCGTGGATTTTTTAAACTTAATTTCTCAAGGGCCTATACAAGGCGTGGATTTTTTAAACTTAATTTCTCAAGGGCCTATACAAGGCGTGGATTTTTTAAACTTAATTTCTCAAGGGCCTATACAAGGCGTGGATTTTTTAAAAACAAATTTTCAAGGGTCTATACAAGGCGTGGATTTTTTAAAAACAATTTCTCAGGGGGTCTCCATACAAGGCGAGGATTTTTTAAAAACAAATTTTCAAGGGTCTATACAAGGCGTGGATTTTTTAAAAGCAAATTTTCAAGGGTCTATACAAGGCGTGGATTTTTTAAAAGCAAATTTTCAAGGGTCTATACAAGGCGTGGATTTTTTAAAAGCAAATTTTCAAGGGTCTATACAAGGCGTGGATTTTTTAAAAGCAAATTTTTAAGGGTCTATACAAAGCGTGGATTTTTTAAAAGCAAATTTTCAAGGGTCTATATAAGGCGTGGATTTTTTAAAAGCAAATTTTCAAGGGTCTATACAAGGCGTGGATTTTTTAAAAGAAAATTTTCAAGGGTCTATACAAGGCGTGGATTTTTTAAAACCAAATTTTCAAGGGTCTATACAAGGCGTGGATTTTTTAAAACCAAATTTTCAAGGGTCTATACAAGGCGTGGATTTTTTAAAAGCAAATTTTCAAGGGTCTATACAAGGCGTGGATTTTTATACCCTTCACCACACTGTGGTACAGGGTATTATGTCTTTGTGCATGTGTTTGTAACAGGCAAAAGGAAACGAGATAGACATATGGTTCCTTTTGAGAATATGCCTAGAATCACTTTCTGAGTCGATTTACGCATGTCCGTCTGTCTGTCCGTCCGTGCATGTATTTTTGTGAACAAAGTACAGGTGGCATTTATGATCCGATTTGGATGAAATTTGGCATAGGTCAGTTATTTGGCCCAAGGACGAACCCTATTGAAATTGGGAAAAATCGGATCAGATTTAGAATTTAGATTTAGAATTTGGCACAGGGTAATGAATTAAGCCTAGAATGATGTGTGCTGAGTTTCATGAAAATCGGTTCAGATTTAGATATAGCTCCCATATATAGTTTCGTCCGATTGTATGTAAATGGTGCACCAAAGTCCCTATATATCTTTCGATTTGCACGGAATTTGGCACAGCGTAATGAATAAAATATAGAATTATTTGTGTTAAGTTTCCTGAAAATCGGTTCAGATTTAGATATAGCTCCCATATATATTTTCGTCCGATTTAATGTAAATGGTGCACCGAAGTCCCTATATATCTTTCGATTTGCACGAAATTTATCACAGCGTAATGAATAAGGTCTGAAAAGATGTGTGTTAAGTTTCGTGAAAATCGGTTCAGATTTAGATATAGCTCCCATATATATTTTCGTCCGATTTTTTATAAATAGTGCACCAAAGTCCCTATATATCTTTCGATTTGCACGAAATTTGGCATAGCGCACTGAATTTGGTCAAGTTTCGTGAAAATCGGTTCAGATTTAGATATAGCTCACATATATATTTTCGTCCGATTTTATGTTAATGGTGCACAAAAGTACCTATATATATTTCGATTTGCCCGAAATTTGACACAGCGTACTAAATTAAGTCTAGAGTGATGTGTGTTAAGTTTCGGGAAAATCGCTTCAGATTTCGATATAGCACTTACATATGCATATGTATTCGTCCGATTTTACATAAATGGTGCACCAAACTTCTAATGTTTGTCCGATTAACACGAAATTTTGCACAATTTGTGACGATATTGCGTTTTTTTGAAATAGGTGCAGATGCAGAAATAGCTTCCATATGTATTTCGAACGGTTCGGTTCGGAATAAAAATCCGCGGAAAGAGGTAGTTGTGTAGGGTATTTTATGGTCAGCTTCGTCCCACTATACTGCTCCTACGAACTTTGAAAAATTTTTTTTTTAAATCCGCACCTTCTATGAACCCCTGAAAAATATTTATTCCCTCTTTTTTCTCCCTTCCAGGTCGAGCCTATTCCAATATGTACGGCATGTATTGTCTGGTGGTCTTCTTCACCACCATCATTGCCACCTATGGTTCGTTTAGTGAGATCCTGGATCATGGTGCCACCTATAAGGAGGTCGGGCTCTTTGTCATCGTTTTCTATTGCATGGGCCTGTTGTATATCATCTGTAATGAGGCTCATCATGCTTCACAAAAAGTCGGTTTTGATTTTCAAACTCAGCTGCTGAATGTCAATTTGACAGCTGTCGATACAGCCACCCAACGTGAGGTGGAAATGTTTTTGGTTGCCATTGCAAAAAATCCACCCACAATGAATTTGGATGGTTATGCGACGATTAATAGGGAGTTAATAACATCGGTAAGTGGAGGGTGAAATGTGGAGGAGGGATATACAGTGGTCGACATAATTATTTTATGTAATTTTTTTCTATTTTCCAGAATGTCTCCGTAATGGCCACATATTTGGTGGTCCTGCTGCAATTCAAAATCACCGAACAAAGGGGACTTCGTTCACAGCAGACCACAGCCATATCGTAAAGGCGAAACACACAATGGGGCATTGAAAGATAATTTCCTGAGGACTTTAAAATAGAAATAATAAAATGTATAGATTTAGAAAATTATAATAATAAATAGATAAATAGATTAACAGGACCTTAAACCGCTCTTTTTAAATTATTTTACACCACACACAAAAGCCTTGAAAATATATTTCATCGGGAGCTACCAACAAGTTGGCAAATACATTTTTACGTCAAGATGTGTTTAGTTGGTATGAGAATCCTATTTGGGCGCCATCTATGTGCCATAAACGTGAACTAGTAATAACACATATAATATGCTTGAGGCGCCACCTGCACACCACCTCCGGAACAATTTCACATGAAGTCCAGACACCCTCCTTTTACCACACAACATAAAAAAACTGTACAGTCGCTGGGACAAATCAGTTGGGTTGGGTCTTGAAAAAATTATTTTTAACAAATACTCAACTCGTTAAGGCCCTTGAAAAATTAATTTTAAAAAAATCCATGCCTCGTATAGAGTCTTGAAATTTATTTTTATACCCTTCACCACACTGTGGTACAGGGTATTATGTCTTTGTGCATATGTTTGTAACAGGCAAAGGGAAACGAGATAGGCACATGGTTCCTTTTGAGAATATGCATAGAATCACTTTCTGAGTCGATTTACGCATGTCCGTCTGTCCGTCCGTCTGTCCGTCCGTCCGTCCGTCTGTCCGTCCATGTATTTTTGTGAACAAAGTACAGGTCGCATTTTTGATCCGATTTGGATGAAATTTGGCATAGGTCACTTATTTGGCCCAAGGACGAACCCTATTGAAATTGGGAAAAATCGGTTCAGATTTAGATATAGCTCCCATATATATTTTCACCCGATATAGGCACCAAAGTAGCTATATATCATTCGATTTGCACGAAATTTGGCATAGCGTACTGAATGAGGTCCAAAATGATGTGTGCTGAGTTTCGTGAAAATCGGGTCAGATTTAGATATAGCTCCCATATATATTTTCGCCCGATATAGGCACCAAAGTACCTATATATCATTCGATTTGCACGAAATTTGGCATAGTGTACTGAATTAGGTCCATAATGGTGTGTGCTGAGTTTCGTGAAAATCGGTTCAGATTTAGATATAGCTCCCATATATATTTTCGTCCGATTTAAGGTAAACGTGGCACCAAAGTACCTATATATCTTTCGATTTCCACGAAATTTGGCATAGCGTACTGAATTAGGTATAGAATGATGTGTGTTAAGTTTCCTGAAAATCGGTTCAGATTTAGATATAGCTCCCATATATATTTTCGTCCGATTTAATTTAAATGGTGCACCAAAGTCCCTATATATCTTTCGATTTGCACGAAAGTTGGCACATCGTAATCAATTAGGAATATAATGGTGTGTGTTAAGTTTCCTGAAAATCGGTCCAGATTTAGATATAGCTCCCATATATATTTTCATCCGATTTAATCTGAATGGTGCACCAATGTCCCTATATATCTTTCGATTTGCACCAAAGTTGGCACAGCGTAATGAATTAGTTATAGAATGGTGTGTGTTAAGTTTCCTGAAAATCGGTTCAGATTTAGATATAGCTCCTATATATATTTTCGTCCGATTTAATGTAAATGGTCTACCAAAGTCCCTATATATCTTTCGATTTGCACGAAATTTGGCACTGCGTTATGGATGAGGTCTGGAATGATGTGTGTTAAGTTTCCTGAAATCGTTGAAATTGGTTCAGATTTAGATATAGCTTCTATTTCATCTGTTGAATATGCTCAAAGTGGTGAAGGGTATCATATAGTCGGCCCCGTCCGACTTTACTACTTTCCTTACTGGTTTTTATTTAAAATTTGTATTATTATTTCACATTATAATCGAAAAAGCAAATATATATCCAGTGTTTAGTTCATGGGTCCATGGCAATCGCTTGCTGAGAACGCAATCCCCTCTGTTCCGTAATTTTAAATTGCAGCAGCACTACCAAATAAGTGGCCATAAATGATACATTCTAGAAAAAAATATAACAAAAATATTAAATTAAAAATAAGGTGTCCGAACATCCCATCCCCTCTAACCTACCGATGTTATCAATTCCCGATTAATATTGGCATAACCATCCAAATTCATAATTGGCGGATTTTTCGAGATGGCTACCAAAAACATTTCCACCTCTTTTTGGGTGGCCGAATCGACAGCTGTCAAATTGACATTTAACAGCTGGGTTTGAAAATCCAAACCGACCCTCTGCGAAGCATAATGGGCCTCATTGCAGATGATATACAGCAAGCTCATGCAATAGAATACGATGACAAAGAGACCGACCTCTTTATAGGTGGCACCATGATCAATAATTTCACTCAACGAACCATAGGTGGCAATGATGGTGGTGAAGAAGACGACCAGGCAATACATGCCATACATGTTCGAATAGGCACGACCTGAGAAGAAACAACAACAAACAAACAAACAAAAAAAATTATATAAAGTTCGGAAAGTTTACCCATTGCTTAGGACTTACCCAACTGCTGCATCATGTGACTCAAATCCACCCACAAATAACGATATTCGGTTAATTTTTGTGCCGGCTTTTCACTTCTCAGCGTCTTTTGCAAGGATTCGGATAAGGCTCGACTGGCGGTGCCAAAGGCATTGCAATTGATGTACCTAAAAATGAAGGCCAGAATCATTTTTCAAGGGTGCGATTTTTTTATTAAAGCGTGGATTTTTTTAAATCAAATGTTATGGGTCCTTCAGAAGCGTGGAATTTTTAAAATTACATTTTAAGGGTCCTACTGAAGCGTGGATTTTTTTAAACTAAATTTTAAGGGTCATGCAGAAGCGTGAATTTTTTAAAATTAATTTTTAGGGATCAGCCATAGGCGTGGATTTTTTAAAATTAATTTTTAGGGATCAGCCATAGGCGTGGATTTTTAAAATTCATTTTTAGGGATCAGCCATAGGCGTGGAGTTTCTAAATAATTTTTTCAAGGGTCTACATAAGCCTTGGGTCTATACAAGGCGTGGAGTTTTTAAATAATTTTTTCAAGGGTCTACACAAGCCTTGGGTCTATACAAGGCGTGGAGTTTTCAAATAATTTTTTCAAGGGTCTAACCAAGGCTTGGGTTTTTAAAATTGATTTCTCAAGGGTCTACGCAAGCCTTGGGTCTATACAAGGCGTGGAGTTTTCAAATAATTTTTTCAAGGGTCTAACCAAGGCTTGGATTTTTAAAATTGATTTCTCAAGGGTCTACACAAGCCTTGGGTCTATACAAGGCGTGGAGTTTTCAAATAATTTTTTCAAGGGTCTAACCATGGCTTGGATTTTTAAAATTGATTTCTCAAGGGTCTACACAAGCCTTGGGTCTATACAAGGCGTGGAGTTTTCAAATAATTTATTCAAGGGTCTAACCAAGGCTTGGATTTTTAAAATTGATTTCTCAAGGGTCTATACAAGGCGTGGATTTTTAAAATTGATTTCTCAAGGGTCTAACCAAGGCCTGGATTTTTAAAATGGATTTCTCAAGGGTCTATACAAGGCGTGGATTTTTAAAATTGATTTCTCAAGGGTCTATACAAGGCGTGGATTTTTAAAATTGATTTCTCAAGGGTCTAACCAAAGCCGGGATTTGTAAAATTAATTTTTCAAGGCTCTAACCAGGGCCTGGATTTTTAAAATTAATTTCTCAAGGGTCTATACAAGGCGTGGTTTTTTAAAATTGATTTCTCAAGGGTCTATACAAGGCGTGGATTTTTAAAATTAATTTCTCAAGGGTCTATACAAGGCGTGGATTTTTAAAATTGGTTTCTTAAGGGTCTAACCAAAGCCTGGATTTGTAAAATTAATTTTTCAAGGCTCTAACCAGGGCCTGGAATTTTAAAATTAATTTCTCATGGCTCTAACCAAGGCCTGGATTTTTAAAATTGATTTCTCATGGCTCTAACCAAGGCCTGGATTTTTAAAATTAATTTTTCAAGGCTCTAACCAAGGCCTGGATTTTTAAAATTGATTTCTCAAGGGTCTATACAAGGCCTGGATTTTTAAAATTAATTTTTCAAGGCTCTAACCAAGGCCTGGATCTTTAAAATCAATGTTTCGCCGTTTTTTTACTCACCACAAACTACAAAAACAATTCAGCATTGCAATCAACGGATAATACGCAAAGGTATACCAAAATTCAAAATCCGGCTGCAGGAAATATTGCGACAAATTTATCAAAATACTAAGAGTCCATGAGAAGATACACAGGCCCCATGTCAGAGGATATAAATTCGGAAAAACAATTGGTGTTCCGGTAACTTTTAAAAATTTCAATTGATAATTGGTCCACATATTTTTGAATATGGCAACTTGAGGACCATGCCTCCAGCTGGCCACGGGTAGGAGAAAATTTGTAAACAGCAGACTGATAAAGATGACATTATAAATGGCCTCATCGAATCGAGTCTCCGAATTGGTTACAAATTTATTCACCCTCTCCTGCAGAACAAATATCACCACTGTTGTCTGTATGACATAGACGAACATGGCCCACAACACCTGCTTCGAAGTCCACGAATAGCCGGTACGTGGTAAATTCGGTTTTGGGGGATTGCGATGTATTGGCATGACGCCCATAATTTGAAAGAGTACCAAAAGACTTTTTGTCGTGTGATAGAATGAGTCGTGTTTATCCAATAGCTCCGGATCATCGACCGTTTCCTCTTTGCGTACATAATAATCCGATAGATTGGCATCATCATTGTCCGCCAGGAAATGTAATTTGTCCCTATATCTCAGCTCGTCGTGCAGAAATTGTTTCTGACTTGGAGTTAAAGCAGGCATAACCCGAGGTGAAGTAGTTTCGCGGCTGGCCACTGTTGCCCAAAAGGCCATCGTTGAGTATCCTTTGAGAGGTTCGCGAGAGGTTCAAATGACAAGAATTAAAATCGGAAAATTACTGTTGCCTCTACGCTGCGGGTGTTGTGCTTAAATACTATCCTGATTGCCATTGTTTGTTTTTCTATGCCATTGCTATTTTCCGAACTTTTCAAGTTTGTCTGAATTAATTATTCCGCCAAAAGGGGAGGAATTTTTTAGTTTTGTTTTCCTTTAAAGGTTATTGCTGGTTAAACATAAATTGCAATAGCCCAGGGTCAAGGATAATAAATTACGACGAATAATAAAAAAGGGGGTCAGTAGAATATAGTCAGGTTGAGGTCAGTAATTTAATAAATAAAAGGTTGTGGCCTGTAAATATGCATTTAAATAACAAATAAAATGAATAGACCCTTGAAAAAATTATTTAAAAAATCTTCGCCTTAAATAGACCCTTGAAAAAATTATTTAAAAAATCCACGCCTTAAATATACCCTTGAAAAAAATTATTTACAAAATCAGCGCCTTAAATAGACCATTGAAAAAATTATTTAAAAAATCCTCCCTCTAAATATACCCTTGAAAAAATTATTTAAAAAATCCTCGCTTTAAATAGACCTTGAAAAAATTATTTAAAAAATCCTCGCCCTAAATAGACCCTTGAAAAAATTATTTAAAAAATCCCCGCCTTAAATAGACCCTTGAAAAAATAGGCCCTTAAAAAATCGACAACTCTTTGAGAAAAAAATTATTTAAAAAAACCCTTCGGTTGGGTTTAAAAAATCCAGGCTATGATAATTTTCTTTTAATCCTCCCAACTCCCGTCCCTGATATGGTAGAAACGCATAAAATTGCATGTCAAATTTTGTATTTGATTACAAAGCAGGACATAATGCATTTCAAGTGTAATAGCCATGTCTGATTAATTAAAACAATTCAGACATGCACAAGCTTGTTTGTTATACAGCAAACATCGTTCTCCTAGGACAGTAGCTATTTTACCATCTAAGCCATTGGGTCTCAATCGCAAATCGCAAACCTCTAGAAAATGAGTGGTGCTCCCCAACCTCCCCCCGGAATAGGAAAATCATCCGAAGCTTGGCCCGCCCAGCCACCGGAAAAACCTCGCCGAAAAGTGACATTGTGGTTCCTCACAGTTGAGGGTTTTGAATATTTCAAATTATATTTGGCCACTTGCTGTAATCACTGCTATGTGTATTTGGTGAAGGAGGGTCTCATCTGGGTGGAAAGAATATTTTGGCTCATTCTCATAGCCGTATCGCATTATGCCTCAATTTATATTGCAATGCAATCGATAGATCGTTTCCTAACGAAAAATGCCTATATGGGTATTGAGCGGGACTATTTCAGTTGGAATACTTCGTTGCCGAGCTTGACTATATGTCCCATGGAGCGTTTGGATCGGGAGCTTTTCAATGAATATTGTCAGTGAGTATGAGGGGATTATGGAAAGCATTTTATTCAAAGGTCGTGGCGTAGATTTTTTGAAATTAAACTTTCAAGGGTCCCACATAGGCGAGGATTTTTTTAAATTAATTTTTCAGTGGTCTTATAGGGGCGTGGATTTTTTAAATTTAATATTTTATGGGTCCTACAGAGGCGTGGATTTTTTAAATTTAATATTTTAAGGGTCCTACAGAGGCGTGGATTTTTTAAATTTAATATTTTAAGGGTCCTACAGAGGCGTGGATTTTTTAAATTTAATATTTTAAGGGTCCTACAGAGGCGTGGATTTTTTAAATTTAATATTTTAATGGTCCTACAGAGGCGTGGATTTTTTAAATTTAATATTTTAAGGGTCCTACAGAGGCGTGGATTTTTTAAATTTAATATTTTAAGGGTCCTACAGAGGCGTGGATTTTTTAAATTTAATATTTTAAGGGTCCTACAGAGGCGTGGATTTTTTAAATTTAATATTTTAAGGGTCCTACAGAGGCGTGGATTTTTTAAATTTAATATTTTAAGGGTCCTACAGAGGCGTGGATTTTTTAAATTTAATATTTTAAGGGTCCTACAGAGGCGTGGATTTTTTAAATTTAATATTTTAAGGGTCCTACAGAGGCGTGGATTTTTTAAATTTAATATTTTAAGGGTCCTACAGAGGCGTGGATTTTTTAAATTTAATATTTTAAGGGTCCTACAGAGGCGTGGATTTTTTAAATTTAATATTTTAAGGGTCCTACAGAGGCGTGGATTTTTTAAATTTAATATTTTAAGGGTCCTACAGAGGCGTGGGTTTTTTAAATTTAATATTTTAAGGGTCCTACAGAGGCGTGGATTTTTTAAATTTAATATTTTAAGGGTCCTACAGAGGCGTGGATTTTTTAAATTTTATATTTTAAGGGTCCTACAGAGGCGTGGATTTTTTAAATTTAATATTTTAAGGGTCCTACAGAGGCGTGGATTTTTTAAATTTTATATTTTAAGGGTCCTACAGAGGCGTGGATTTTTTAAATTTCATATTTTAAGGGTCCTACAGAGGCGTGGATTTTTTAAATTTCATATTTTAAGGGTCCTACAGAGGCGAGGATTTTTTAAATTTCATATTTTAAGGGTCCTACAGAGGCCTGGCTTTTTTATGAATTACTTATTCAAGTGCCCTACAGAGGCGTGGATTTTTTATGAATTATTTATTCAAGTGCCCTACAGAGGCGTGGATTTTGTATGAATTATTTATTCAAGTGCCCTACAGAGGCGTGGATTTTGTATGAATTATTTATTCAAGTGCCCTACAGAGGCGTGGGTTTTGTATGAATTATTTATTCAAGTGCCCTACAGAGGCGTGGGTTTTGTATGAATTATTTATTCAAGCTTCCATACTTTTTCATTATTTCCAGATCCCATTACATTACGGGCAAAAATCAAGACGACCTCTGGGATCTGCTGGAACATCTGGCCAATTCCACGTATATGAATTTTCAAGATATTCCCAATCATAGTAGCTTGGATCGCACTCTTGATAAACTACAGTTAAAACCTAATAAATATATGGAATTAATATATAATCTGACGGTGGACCATACCCTAAATCCTGTCGATAAGCTGAGAATACGTTGCATCGACAATGATGAATATATACACTCCCGACAAGTGCTTACCGAATATGGCCTCTGTTATTTAACGAACAACAATATTGATGATCGCTATTCATCGAAGTATTTGCTATTCGGAGTAATGCCCGAACCAAATGAATATGAAATTAAACATAATGTCCGGAAGATACAAATGGGTTCATATCCGGATAAATATATAGATTTTAATTTTATTGGTTTCCAGTCACCAATTGATGTGAGTATCTTAAGGGGGGGAGGGGTAGGAGGAAGGCTTGGGAAACTTGAAGAAATTTAAATATTTGATTTCGTTTCTTACAGGTCTATGCCCATAGCTCCTATGAGGTCATGAAGGTGGACAATAATTATGGTTATACCACTGAAAATCTCTACTACGAACCCTTCTCACCGGAAATCACCACGGATCATAATTTTGAAACGTAAAGTCCCTAATACCATTACAGGACCTTCAAATACTAATTATTTTATTAAATTTTTTTTTATAGGGGAGCCAGTGTCCGCCAAAGGAACTGCCGTTTCAGCCACGAGTCTAATCTAACCCATTTTCCGATTTATACGAAAAATATTTGCATGCAGGAGTGTCGTTTAAATTTGGTCTACAAAATGTGTAAATGTATACCGCACTTCTATCCCAATCGACGTAAGTGACCCTTAAAATGTTATTTACGTGCTTAAAAAATTATTTAAAAAAATCCAAGCCGTATATAGACCTTTGAAAAAATGACTTAAAAATCCAAGCCTTATATAGACTCTTCAAAAATTTATTTAAAAAATTCACGCTTTATATAGACCCTCGCTTGAAAAAATATTAGTTAAAAAATCCACGCCTTAGAAAGCCTAAAAAAATCTTATTTAAAAAATCCACGCCTATTGAAGGTGCTTGAAAAAAATTATTTAAAAAATCCACGCTTTATATAGACCCTCGCTTGAAAAAAATAGTTAAAAAATCCACGCCTTTTGAAGGTGCTTGAAAAAAATTATTTAAAGAAATCCACGCCTTATTGAGACCTCTGTACAATTTTTTTAAACATTCCACTCTTTTATAAACACTTGAAAAAAAATTTTTTATTAAAAAGTCGATCCTTTTTATTTTCAGTTCCAATACCCAAGCCGGTTTGCGATTTCAAAACTCTGAGGGAATGTATGCCGCAGCATGAAGCTTATTTTCTGAAATTATATCGGGAGAGACCCAATAGCAATAAACTGGACATGGCCCCGTGCTATTGTGAACAGAACTGCAAGGGATCGGTATTGAGTCTTAAGGTTTCGGTATGTAGGAAATATCCACTATTTTGAAATTTTGATATAATACATAATCCCTCCTTGTAGTTATATACCCGCTCAAAACAACTATATGGTAGTTATGGTGCAACAATGACGGAAAAGGAATGGCCCACTGTGCGCTATAAGCGAGAGATTTATTTGACATTTACCGATTTAATGGGTAAACATTTTTTTAAAAAAAAGTCTATCTTAGGAATTTTTTTTTTAATTTGTATTTCATTTTTTGTTTCAGTTTACATTGGTGGTACGGCCGGATTTTTCTTGGGCTTTAGTGTATTGGGCGCCATTGAGATTTTCTATTTTTTCACAATGCGTTTACTGTTCCATTTGTTTGGCTATAAAATATAAATATTTTTACCTGAATTAAATATTGAATACTTTTTGCACTATTTTTCATATTAATAAAACAATTTTTGATTATTCACATAAATTCTGAAATTCTTATTTTTTAGAAATTTTCAAGGTTCAAGGCATGGATTATAGCTTTGTGAAGCCCCAAGAGTTTGTAAAGCGCGAAATATTGGTCCTAGACCCTTCTTTAAGTGTGCCGATCGTCATATCTCGACTAACTGAGTCGATCTAGACATGTGTGTTCGTTCGTCCGTCTGTCCATAATAATTTGTAAACACGATACAGGCCACA